GTAGCAGTAGCAGTAGCAGTGGCATTAGTAGCAGCAGCAGTGGTATTATTATTATTATTAGTAGTCGTAGTCGTAGCGGTAGCGGTAGCGCCGGTAGCGGTAGTGGTAGTGTGTTTCTCATGTTGTTCCATGTTCCGAGGCTCTTGATTTTCGTCAAACAGATCTTGGGCATCGTTGGAACCTTGGACGGAACACGAAGGAATCCGATCTTTGCCCGTGCGGCTTCATGAAGAGCATCTGCAAGAGGCAGCCTGCTGAAGAGACAACCTGCTGATAGACTCCATTCTAGTTTGCTTACATTTGCTCACCGAGTTTAGCAACTCCAGGTGCAGCTTGGCATGTTTGTGAGGGAGCGCCTATTCATCTTTGTTTTCGGTGGCCATGGACTGAGTCTGTTGTGTGTGGAGCATAGCATGACTCGTCAGAACAGGACAGTTACGAAAAAACACCGAGGTGAGGACAGTCAAATGCAACCAAAAGAAATTGCCCGGAAGGCTTTGGATTTCTGAAGGGCAGTCCTCGTTCCGGTTGCAACTGCCTGCCGAGTTTTGCAGCATGCAATGTGCATGCCAGCTGCCATGAAGTGACACAATGCACACAATTGAAAAATATTGTCACATGGCACCAGGAGCACAAGATACATTCCAGAATAGTGCCGATGCCAGCTTAGCTAAGTGCCCATCACCTACACAAATCCAGGGAGGTGATCCAGCTCATCTCTACCCGGAAGGTTGTGTTTCTGTGCCATGTGAGCTAAGTCGCTGCTTCTCGCCATGTCCGGTGTTGGTGCCTGTCCAAAGAACCTGGTGGAAGCCTATGGCAAGGATCCGTCACATGTTGCCACATCGATGGACAAGCCTACGGAAAGACGGAAAGGCGCCAAGAAATCGAAGCAAAGTTCCTTGAGAGGCAAAGTAATCTTTGCTGTTTCATCATCATAGAAATGCTGCCCCTTTGTTTTTGTTGTCCTTGTCGTTGGCCTGAGGAGTATCGGATGAGGAGCATCTCATCTCAATGCTTGAACGCTTGTCCTTGGAGCTGAGCACGTCGCGAGGGACGCGCATCGGTCGTTGCCCATTCTGCAACTGCTGCAAGAAGTACGTGGCTCGGCAGCGATCAAAGTCCAAGGAGAAGGTCGGCTCGAAGGGTCGCTCCAAGTCTTGTGGCGGGCTCGTCACTGACCGAGAACGAGAGCTCCCTGTCGATCGACCTAAAATTCGCGACTCGGAGCCTCTCCCAAGCAAAGTGCCAAAGCCGGGCAAAGAGAAGCGATCGGGGGCAGACGGTCAGAAGCCACTGGGCAGACCCCGACTTCGGCGCAGAGGGCTGGGTGGTCTTGAAGATCCTTCGGTTGCACCGAATAGGGTGAATACTTAGCTGCCATTGTCATGCAAGGATGGAGCATCGGTTGCCCTGGATATGCATGGTGATTCAGGGTCTCACATGAAAGGGCACAGTTTCACCAAGGACAAGACTCCAAGCCCGCGACCCCCTCGTGCAAGAAGTGCCGGACGAGCGCCGATGATCAACACTGCGCCACAGCTAAGTGTGGAGGCACGGTCCAGGACGTTCGGCAGCTGGTCTCACTCTCCTAAACTTGTTTATGACATCACGAAGCCTTTGGATGGACGTGCGCTCTCCAGTCATTTGTGTGTGTCTGTCGAGCAGGAGAAGGGCCACCTCAGCTAGCAGACTCTCCGCCCAGAGGCCAGGCCATGTGCTATCTCTTACGTGTTTCGTGACCCGTCATGCCTCGCAGGGCGCCAGTCCGGGCATCATCAGAGAGTCGATTGCGTGGTCCATCTGCGGCTGAGGGCTTGGCTGACAGTGTAAGAGGTTCTAAAGGACGGAGAGCTCCGCGGAATTTGCTTGCGGAGCTGTACCGCCCCGATCAAGACAGTCGCGAGATGCAGAGACGGCGGGGCATCAATGCTCAGCAAGAGCCTTCTACATTGCCAGGAGGCCCAGCCGCGAGGGCTCCCAGGTTCGGATACCAGGAAGCTGCGCAATTCTGGGAGCCAGTGGCTGCTGAGCCCACTACTCAGGGTGCTGCAAGGTTCAATGGAGGCTTTGCACCACCTCCACGGATTCATGTTCCGACGCTGCAGACGGCCGGCAATCGTTCACCAGCAAGGGTTCACCAGGCGCATCTGCCTCATTCAAATTCTCAAACAACTTTCTGGCGAGATTGACAACTTTGCAACTCTCGAAACTTGCGAGCTTGTCGGACACAACATTCGAGGGATGCAGGGGGGAGGTAGCTGCAGTCATTGCACATGCCCGCAAGGTTTGCTGTGTAGTCAGACTGTCCATCTTGCTATGCAGAGGCAGACTTGGACGCACATCTTCAGCCGGAGAGACGAGATTTTGACGGAGCTTCGCCCGGGGAGATCATATATGGTCCCTGTGAAAGCCCAGGCAGTTTCCTCTAGCCGCCTCTAGACTCTAGCCCTATGATCGTCTCTTGGTGATGCAGGCCAGCTGGACCCAAATTGCCGTGGCTGCGGAAGCTCCTACACAGAGGACTCCATCTTCTGCCGCCATTGTGGCAGCAAGCGGGCACAGACTCGGACAGGGCACTTGGAGGCCCTCTGGCTGCAAATGGTCACGGACTTGGTGAAGAATGCTGCTGCACTTCTCCCTGAAGCAGTCTGGGAGCACATCCGCCTTCCTGCCCTTTCCTCTTCCTCTATTCCTCCTCCTCCCTCCTCCTCTCCTCCTCTGCGCTCCTCCGGGTCCTGTGTCTGCTCCACAGATGGATGGTGTACAGGGTTTTATGTGCAGAGCACGGTCTTGTGCACCAGGAAAGCCAAGCGCTACCAAGCTCCGAATCTGTAAAGCGCGGAGTCCGGCATCCGCAGACTTGTTGAACCTTGTCACAACCACAACGACAAGCAGCACACAAGACCCAGGATGGCCTGTGCATTCCGAAAATCGAACGCATCCAGCCCGGTTGCTCAGCATATGTCTAGCTTGCAATCTCGTAAGAGGGAAACCCTACACTATGATATACTATGATATGCTATACTAGTTTCAACAGACCATGATGCAAAGCCCGGTTTGCTGCGTCGGCTTGCATTGCTTGTCGGCAGCTAGCCCAGGCGTCTCCGAAGGCGGAGGATTTGGACCTGGACAACGCAACCCGGCAGTTGGAGCAGTTGGTGGAGGACTTTCTCTCCGCTTGTGCGTCTGTGAGCCAATAATTCGTGGAGTGTCAGAACCGATATGCACAGCCCGAGCAACCACCGGAAGAGGAGCGAGCACGTAAGCATACCCATGAACTCCCACATGTTATGACACCTTTGAAGCACTATTTTCACCGAAACAACCGGTAATGCTGCAGCATGCATGTTCATATGGACTGAATAACCTACTTGCCACGGGAGCGACCCCTGGCACCCCGTGGCACTCCTTGCCAAGTGGCAATGCAAATAGATCTCCGACTGTCCGTGGGAGGAAACACATCGGGCCCTGCGAGCGGGAACCCGCAATCAGGATGCATCGCTGAGCGAGGGCTCCCAGGCCACATGCCAGCACTAGCTTCCTAACACTTTTCCCAGTATGCATGTGCTGTGCTATCTGTGCTCAGGCAGCCCCTTCCTTGGATGCGGTGGATCGGGCATTGGAAGAGCTTCAGAGAGGTCTTCTCGAGATCGACACTGTCTTGGCGAAGCCCATCCCTGAAGCCAGCCCTTGACAACAGACCAAGGCCTTGCCAAGGCGGCATCACCGGGTGTGTCCATTCCTTTTTTTGGTCGCTTGCCACTGTGTCGGCATGGCTTTGATGCAAATCTCCTGCCGGTCCGATTTAGCAGGGTCTGAGCAAGCGACCAACGGCCGACGGTCAGTGACATGAATGGTAGCGGCTCGTTGTGAAGCAGCCTCTCTGCCAAGGATTGAAGAACACCTCATGTAATCAAATCTCGTTGCCATTATGTTGCTGCACATATCGTGCCCCGCTGGCGACCAATAATTAACTTGCAACCTTTTGCGTGCGCATCCGAACGCGAAATTTTGACATCAGGCACCTGCCATGTTTGCAATCGAAACAACCCATCAGGCTCTCTCCATTTACAATCACTGATTGCGAACGTGAGCGGCGGAGCAGGGGAGGGCTCTTTCCCCGGCCCAGTTGCCGAATGTAACATGGACTCACCCACAAGAAGTTCAGTTCGGCAGAGTCCTTCCGTTTAAGCCTGCCGTACCAGTAGAGGTTTTCATACCTCGCGGACAGGACCGCAGCAGATTCGTCGCACAATCTACAATCTACACATCATTCGCCATCAGTCTTTCAATTTGTTCTTGGACTTGGTTGCGCATATCGGCGATCGGCTGCAGGCATGGTCCACCTGTACACGCAGTTACTCGTCTCACAAAGCAGTGGGCGCCTTGTTGCGCAAGTTTGCTGGCAAGGCAAATTGCAAGCAAGGGTGTATTTATGATTTTCATGAGCTAAAACAACTTGCGGCGAGCATGTTCTTCTGAATGCATGGCTGGGACTGCTTTCGCAGAAGCAACAGCCCCCGTCTCAGGAGGTGGGTGACGCTTGCGAGTGAATGCTAGTGCCCATTTCCCAAGCTTCGGCAAGCTTAGGCCTGGGGTTCCAGGGTCCCATGAGTTGAGCCGCCAGCTATGAAGCGAGCAGATCACAAAACTCCTTAAGCTAAAAGCGTTCTCAGAGAAATGACCCATGGTCGCTTCCAAGCGTCCTCTTCGCAGATCTTACGCCCAAGATGCATCTCCTTCCAAGGTGATGCGCAAAAGTGAGTGGGCGCACGGAATCTGCCTCTTCGTAGTTCCCCTAGGCTCTGCCACAACTTCCAGGAGGATGATCTGGGAAAGGGAGGTCACAGCAGCTGGCGGCTGCCTGGCCAATTCCCCGTCTTCGGCCACCCACATAGTCGTCACTCCAGAAGTCACTGCCGTTCGCCTGGGGGCATGGGCCAGCAAAACTATGCAAGGCAAGGGCGAAGGTGACAGCAAAGATCCTTTGTCTGTTCTATGCGCTTTTGCCGAGTCTCTGAAGTCAATCTGGGTTTACAGCGATTGGCTCGTCACTTGCCTGGCCAAGCAGAGCCGTGTCTCAGAAGAAGCTTTCACTTGGTCCCGACATGCATCGGAGAACTGGGAGCATGGTCACAATCCGGTTTCCGTTCAGGAATGTAGAGTTGTAGATGCAACCCAGCCCACCGTGGGTAAACCACTTGCAGGGCAGGGGTCTACGCCGTCTACGCCGGCTCGAAGTCCGGCACCTACACAAGGGGAATCTGATTCGGAAGTTGAAGAGGTCCTTCCCAAACTTGGAGCCTTTGGCGGAGAGATGACTCCAAAGCGAGCCTACTTGATCCGCAACCGTGACAAGTTTGCGTGCCAGCGTGGTGGTGAGAATTCGCCCGAAAAAAGCACGACTGGCTCTCCACCGAAGCCCCGCAATGCCGAGCTCGTGGCCATGTTTAGCCGGCTGCAGCAGCATTACGAGTCATTGGGCGATGGATGGCGTGAAAGATCTTATCGGCTGACAGCGAGCGTTCTGCGCAGCCTGTCCTTCGAGGTGGAATCGGAAACGGACCTGGATCGACCGGAGCTGAAGCGACTAGGCAGGAAGACACGCGACAAACTCAAAGAATTTCTTCAGACAGGAAGCATCGGCAGAGTCGAAGGCTTGCAGACGGACGAGGTCGCAAAGGCCTTAGGAGAATTGCAAGGTATCTGGGGTGTGGGTCTGACAACTGCGAGGAGGTGGCTTGGATCTGGCTGCCGGACTATCGCCGATGTAAGGCAGCGCGTTCAGGACGGATCGCTGCGGCTGACTGCCGACCAAACGCTCCCGGGTTGATCTTAGCAACACAGTTTGACTCCCCGACTTTTTCTGCTACACATACGCTACATGACTTTTTCACTGCGCCTGTTCGGAGATGGGAGTCTGGAGCTCCGGTGGCATACTACATCGTGTAGACGAAAATCCCCATCTGGCGGCATACATGTTGGTTTGTTCTGGGACCGCGCAATGAAACAATGCTCGTAACAGGATTCTCGAATCTGAGTGATGGGAAGGTATCCTGTCACCTTGCTTGTGACAAGCCTGAAAATCCTGCTCCACTTTCCCCAGTGCTGATCTACAAGCACAGGCTCTTGACTGTCCCAAAGGCATGCCGATACACACGATTGGAAGAGAAGCACAAAAGACCCACCACGGCTCCAGGCCGCCCCAGCCATTTTCATCACGTGAGCCACGCACCGAAGTTCCTGAGACAGGCTGCATTGGTCCAGGGGCCCTGCTCAGGTCCGCGCCTTGCACAGGGATCGTGCTGATCTACAAGCGCACGTAATACAGCCCGTTTGCCCCAGCATACTGAGTTGCATCGGCACAGAAGTTGTTGGCTATACAAGACTTTAAGCAAGGCCAGCCCTATGTTCAAGGAGTTGTTCTTAAGTTCCACCCCCGGATCTTGAAACCATGCCAGGATCGGTCTGCACTTCTTCGAAGAGTTCTCCCAGCGCATTCCGCGGACAGAGGTAGAAGAAATCGTTGCAGTTGTTCGAGCATCTGTCAGTCAGCGATTTGGTGGCCAATTGCGCATGGAAGCTTGCGGATCTTTCCGTCGTGGGAAAACGAGCTGTGGAGATGTTGACCTGCTGCTTTGTGCTCGCAATGCTAGAGACGAGCTTTCCCTTGGCTCTATGCATGACATCTTGGCAGGTCTCGTGGCAGATCTGCGTGGGCAGAGCTTCATTACCCACGATCTGAAAGGTGGGAATCCAAACCATGGCCGCCAAACCGGCAATGGCCAGGATGCTACCGAGGGCGAAGAGCTGCGAAGTTCTTCTGCTGCAACCTATTTTGGAGTTTGCCGGTTGCCTCGTGCCGGAAGCCTGCACCGAAGAATTGACATCAAAGTGTATCCAGTGCTGGAATTTCCATTTGCCCTCCTTTCCTTCACAGGGTCTGGCCCTTTCAACCGGTCCATGAGATTATTTGCGAGAAGAGCGGGGTTCAGCTTGTCAGATCACAGCATCTGCCGGGCAACACATGCTAGAGGAGCTGGTCGTGGGGAGCGTATTTGGACCGGACCTCCTATTGCAGCCGCTCGCTTCGCGTCAGAGGGCGATATTTTCGACTTTCTTGGACTTGCATACCGAGAGCCGTGGCAGCGTGAGGTGGACGCATCGTGGCTAGCCGAAACTGGCACTGATAAAGCAGCGGGAAACGAGACTGTACAGCATTCTAGCCAACTCTCACTGTCGCTTCCCACACCAGTCGAGGAGCGGGAGCCTGCAAAGCAGGGTTTCTTAGCAGAGGTGCAAAGCCTCTCAGACTCGGATGAAGAGCCTTCCTGCACCGATGACAAAGCCTTCACATGGCCTCCTGCATGTGCTTGACCAGAGTGCATGGGCATGCTTTTTGCTAATGATTCTGTTAGAAAGCTTGTGACGCAGGATATCTGGAATTCCTTGCTGGCCATGAAGATTTTCGACAGATTCGGCCTGTGGAGATCGATCGCCTCGCACCTACTGGTAAAATGACCATCGCTTGCTTTTAGCATGTGACTGCATGGCGGTCAAAGCAGGAGCCAAGTGGAAGTTTACCCATTTATATCTCTACCTGCCAACTCTGGAGATGCGTATCTACGCTCCAGGCGTCTGCCCGCATAAGATCCTCGGTTGCATGCACCCACGCATCAACCGCAACCGCATCTGATGTACTCTAAACTCCGGAATGCCTGACGTTTCCCGAAGTTTATATGGCAGCTTCATATTGGGCCAGCAGTGCCAGTCATGCTTGAAGCGGATCGTCTGGAGAAGGTGTCACACAAAGCTACTGAATGCCTTCGGCCTACCGTCTGCTTGGTGGGAGGTTGGGTGCCGCGGTGCGGTAGGAGGTGCGGTTGCCAGGACAATTGCTATCAAAACGGATGTGGCACAGAAGAAGGCTGGAATGCGAGAACAGCCGTCGACCCTCTCCTAACTATTGTTGCCGTCTCTTCAGAATGCCCTTCAAGAACGCGTTCTTGTTGAGTGGTTTTTGGTAGCTGGACCTCGCTGAAACTGTGCAGGGTCTCGAGTGCACCAAGCCGGCACAGCAGGGGGTTTCAGCTCTGCAAATGCGAGCAATCTGTCGCTGAAGGCTATCATGCTCAGCTTCGACGACAGGGACCTGCGAAGTCTGCAAGCAGCTATGTTCACAAAAGTCTATGTAGATACAAGCTGGGTTCGTGAACAAGTGTTGCGTTGTGGACTATATGCATGTATTTTTCATCATAGATGCATTCTTGAGTTTGTTTGTTCTTCTATGTGCGTCTCCGTGAAGGCTTGCTTGTGGCCCTACATGCGCATGCCGGCGTATGCCGGTATCTACATATATACATATACACACACATGAATATAAATAGAAATATGCACACAACCAGATAAACGATCATGAACGTGCGTATGTACAGTGACTCATTGACGACGGGTACTCTATTCAATTTGCTCTTATATATATATACATATATATATATATATTGATATTGATTGATTGATTGTGCATCACGAACATGCGTTACGCTTTGACCGTCTTGCATGGTCCCCAAGCACGGCAGATGTCGATGGCGCGCCGTAAGTTATGGTGTATCGCGCCTTGGTCCCGTGTTTGCTACAAACTCGTGCATGGATTTCGTGCTTGGCTTCAAGCTACCCAGAGTATCGGATAGCATGTCACTGGCACGTCAGTTCTGCAAGCGTAAGATGCTACTTCCTAGAATGCTCATGAACCATCATGCCAACAGGTGAACACTACACCATACTAGCCGCAGGCATCCTGGCTTACATAAAGCCTCTGATGACTGTGCATCATGAAATGCGGCCAGCCTGAATGTACTGGTATGTATCTAAAACCCTGCTTCGTGACTCGCTCAGCTATGCAGAAGACAGGCAAACGGCATCCTGACAATCGTGATAAAACTGTAGTTCGAAGCCGTACTTCGACGAGGCAAGCGTACAAAGGATTGTGGCATCATGACTCAGGATAGGTATTTGGCAATCCCGAGTTTATGTTTAGAGATACGGAATCAGTCATCACGAATTAGAACGGTTAAACTAATGCATCACTTGGTGATGCCACAAACCTAAAAAGGGTGCGACTTGTTACCGCAGTTTCATCAGGACAGGTGCAGAATCTTGCGGAAGAGTAGAAAGGTGCCAGAACTGTATCAATAGGACGACGAGAAATCATCACAGTAACATCGTGCTTCCAAATTAGCTGAAGCCTGATGTGACGAACCACAGATGCGAGACGTATGATGTTCTCGCAAGCTTCTAGCCACGAGTGGGACGGTTGCAGTGGTTTGTTGTCGTGTTTTGGTCATGTTTGTTCCACCTTACTGCACGCACTTGTGTTGTAGCAGATTCCCAACTCATGCAGGATCTGAGTCTGCGGCTTAAATTATCAAAGCAACAACTGATACACTGATGCACCCGAGTCAGCTTTCACACAGGCAGTGCGGTATCACAGCAGTCGTCTGCCATATTAAAAGTCTCGCGCGCCAGGACTTCCAGAGGTTGGTGCTCAACGAGCAAGCCACAGCTGGACAGCGGCTTGCCGCCAAATGGTTCCACTAGTATTTCAGAACAGCCAAAACTGCAGCAACTACAGCCATAGCTTGGTGGAAAGAAGACTTACAAGACACAGGTGGCTAGATTCCTGCAGCAGCATGAGATGCTGTTGCAGCGCAGTGCTTGAAGGGTAATTTCGTAGAATCAGAGATCAAATTAAATTTGAGATCAAACGAAAGATGCGGTAAAGGCCAGCGTGTTGGCATTGCAAAGTGATGTAGACGGCTGTAGGATGCTATGCCGGTGCTGAGAGGTTCCGCGAAGGGCCGGGGTTGATGATCTGTTCGTTTATGACCGCAAACCGTTACTAAGTGACATGAAACGCAACGCTGTCTGTCCTATGCGGCCATCTCAATGAAATAAAGCCAGCATACATTTGCTGGTTGGATCCAGGTTTTGTCATCGGTAAAGCTTTGAGATGTTTTGGGGTAACATCGTCTTGGCGACCATTTTATACTGTACCATTTTTGCATGGCATGCTCGGGAGTCTTGGGCTTAGGATCCGCGGAATCTGCTGTGTGCCGCCTTCTTCTTTCGGTGACGGCGTTGCCACAAAGTGTGTGAAAGATGTAAACGTGAAGCTGAGACCTCGCTGTTGTGGGCCTTGACCTGTTGTGCGCGTAGCTCGCAGGTCACAGTCGGCAGATGCTGAAGCAGGGGGCGCGAAAATTGCCGTCCCTTGGATTGGAGAGATTCCCGACGGCTCACGCAAGGGAGAGGTACATGCTCTCAATGCACGACAGATTTGGGGGATGCACATCTCGGTCTCGAACCGTTGGGCAGTCGCCGAGGCCAGCAGATCCAGTGGAGATGAGAGCAGTAACGACGAGAGTTTTTATTGGTGCAGGCCGTGACAGTCAGAAGGGAAGGCGTTCTCTGCCCGACTGTCCAGATAATTTCTCAGCATGAAGATGAAACGTCGATGTGATTCATGCCTTTTAGGGCACGCTTTGCTTCCTTGAAGCTTCCAGCCACATGGGGGCCAAAGTTGCTCCGAAGTGGAAGTGCACCGGCATTTAGAGGTCGGTGTGCTGGCTGAGCAGTTTGCTCGACAACTGCTAACGCAAGTGAACTTTGTACAAGATCCGGGCATGTTGAGCATTGTTGGGCCCAGTGATCCCGTGAGTGAGGGCATGCTGAGTCGTAGCATGTCCACAGACAGCCGGCAAAGGGGGGGGGGGGGGGGGGGGGCGGGGCGGGCAAAAAATCGAACCTTTGCCATCCAGCCTTCGCTCAAAGACAGCAGAGTTGCGAATTAAGCGCAGAACAACAATCGCTGCAGGTGGTAAACTGCATGTTTTAGGAAAGGTGACGGGAGGTCCAAAACCAGCTCCCACGCTCAAACACACTTCAGAATCCGCAAACACACTTCAGAATCCGCAACTTGCGGTTAGCTTGCATTCGACAGCAATCACATGATGTGCCCTTGTTCATCGTTTGAGTGCTTGAGCCGCCATGCCGCCGGATCCGGCAAAAAAACTTGCCGATTTGGTGCAGCAAGCTGGCAGACTGCACAGTTTGCCTGAACACAGCCGGGCAGAACACGAACGGGAATTGCCTCGGCCTCGGGGTGTGTTGCCGCACGCCTCGGTTGGTTGAGATGCAAGTTCGCGACGAATTGTGCGGCGGCAGGTTCGGCGAGGTGCGATTGGGCCTTTTGCAGCCGGACGCCCTCGAAGGCTCCTTCGAAGAGCATGACATGGCAGCCATGCTGCGGCTCATGGTTAGCCCCTTGCCCCAGAAAAGTGCCATTGCGATTGAGGCATGACTTGCAAGATCTTGCAATCAAGGCTGTGGAAGCAAGAAGCGGTTGGCATCTCGCGCCGTCGAAAATTTGAAGCAATTCCTGAATAGCAGGCTCGCGGCTGTCGCGGCTCATGTGTGTCCCATGGCAACATGTTGCAGACACATGATGCAGGTCATGGCTCAAAGTGGCACATGGCTCACCAGAGCTGCTTCTAGAGCTGAAAGGTTTCCTTTTGGAAAACCCAGAGGCAGGCATGCGTTGTGAGAGTTGTGCCTGTGGTATCGCAGTCATCCTTTCAAAAACGTGCAAGCTCAGGTAACCAAAGATGCTGACATGACGGCTGTCGCTTCTCTTTTGGAAGCGCCGCCGAGTGATGCATGACAGCACGCCGGCTTCTTTTGACAGTGAAACCTGTTGCTTTGCAAGTCTTGTCGTTGAAGCCTGTCGTGCTAAGCAGAGTGCTGGCAAACAGTTCGAGTCCACAGAAAGCACGGTGCAGTGTGGCATTATGCTTCCGAGACTTCTGGCGGCCCTTTTTTCCCTGAATGCTTAAGCCTAGGCTTCACATATTTTTTGCCCATCTTATTCCATCTGTCGTGATCTCAGGACAGCAGGTGCCGGCCAGATTCGCCTACGAGTCCGGCCTGCAACTTAGTTGGGCCACTACCACAGAAACCTGATGGAAGTTGAGAGTTTCTTGGGAGTTTGCAGGCCAAGCTGGATGATGATACACGCCGGACCCGAGCTGTGCTTGGGGAGTTGAGTTTCCTTGAGTCAGCGACAGCAGCGGGCCCGCACGACCGCGTCCAACGCATGCCGAAGGATGATTCTGGAACCGCTGCAACGCGGTCGCGAACTCATGGCCTCGTGCAGATGGCATGTGGTTGGCCGGGTTCCGAGTGTAACAGCCATGTTCGTCTCGGTAAGATGGAATTTATAATGAAGTGGTTGTGACATCAGCTCCCTGCAGAGGTGATGAGTCAGGCCAGGCGCTTTCCCTGTTCTGCCGTGGCGTGACGCGCCTGGCCGGCACGGCTGTCGGCAGGGAGGCAATGGAGGCTCCAGGCCGGGTCCGCCGTGGGCAGTTCATGGCCCTTGGCCCCCCATTGGAGAGTCGGGTTCGCAGACTTGGATTCTGATGTAACGCTGCAACCGACACCGGGTGCCGTCATGCTCTGTGTGTGCATGCATTACGGGAACGCCTCCATGACTTCGGTTCTTTTCAATACATCCATCTGCTGCGGAGGGCCACGGAATTGAGCAGCTTCCATCCTTAACTGAACGAAATCGGCTCGTGTTCGGAGGGGGGGCGGGTAGGAGGCTTTACAGACCAGTCGCAATCCGCCGCTACTGGTAGCAAAGAGCAGTGACAAGACAGCTGAACCGCTGAAACAACTCACAGCACCAGGGGCGGAGTTGCCCGTGCTGGACTGGCCTGAGCCTTCGTGACAGCTGTTAGATAGAGAGCACCCTGTTGCGTCATCAGAAGGCTGGCCTCAGATTGGCCCAACATCATCAAGTTTCTTGCCAACGTGTGGGGAGCTCGGTGTCCGCTTCAAGGCGCACGTGACATGCCAAATATGGCTAGACTATGCAAATGTAGGCATCATGCAGCTTCGTGACGACATGGAATGCCCAGGTACGAATCGAGAAGATTGAACAGGTCGCGGTCTTAATGTCGTCAGCAGACCTACTAGTACCCGGTTTCTTGGGGCGCTCCATGGAACTCCAAGGAGTCAGATTGAGGCATGTGCCTGGCCCCTGGCTTCGTTTTCTTTTGACTCATTCTTTGCCGGATGTCTGAGCAGGTGGAGAAGTTGAGGTCGCTTTCCCCGAACTTCTCCGAGGCCGAAGCTTCCGCGGAAGGCACGGCGCCACCCAGCCGCTTTCTTTGTTTGTGTCGCCGCGTCTTTTCAGCAGGTTTGCCATGGAGGCCCCGATTTGCGGAGTGTGTCAAGACACAGAGGAAATGAAACAGCGGAGTCTGATCCTGGTTGCCTTTTTGGATCATCAGTGGCTGCGACCGGTTTCGCAACACATGCTCCAAGTGCATAGAGTTATGCAAGTACATCGCAACCGCACCAGGGATTCACTTAGTGTCGTTTCTGAGCATTCTTGGTCGGTCGTAGCCATGTTGGTCAGCAGGCCGGGGAACCGAAGCTCGCTTTGTGATGCGTTCATTCAATCAAATGGAGAGTGCAACAGAAAGAGTGAAGCCCTTCTGAGCCTTGGGCAGGAACCTTTTGAAGAAGGAGTCCGGCTGCGCCCCGAAACCAGGGGTGGCGCACCATGGTCGTGCACACCGCCGAAGCTTTGCGGCAATGTAAGCTAGCAAGATCCGACAAGCCTTTGTCCACCGGCATGGGGTGCCTTCCAGGCCAACTGCTTGTCGCAGCGCTTCGCAAGTTGGACAATTCGCCGATGCCGAATGCCGACGTGCGAGGCCTCCCTCGCACTCGCTTCAGCCAATCAAAAACGAAGCTGATGCCACAGTTCTTCATTAGCGTTGCAAGGCTCTTGCGTGGAGGGCCTGTGGACAGCTTTTTTCGGCGGGCTTGCTTCCAAAGAAAGTGACTTGGCCAAAGCATCGGTGGGTGTTGGAGTGAGCCCCTCGAGTCTGCTCAACCACTTGGTCTCGATAATGCCGTGAGTTCCAGGCAAGGGGTGCGATCACATGTCCCTGGTGCTGAGGGACTACCCGCGCTTTGCCAGCGATTACTGGGCCGTTGGACAGCCCGATTAAAGAAGCAGCATATGCAGATTCTGACGGTGAGACTGGAAGCACCATGACCCGGGTATCCACCCTCAGCTGCACGGACTGTGAATCCAACGCCTAGCCTTCGTATTACTCCCGTGTTCTGCTGGCCTGGAGAAATGAATGTCAACTGTTGTTGGGTTGACTGTGGCACACAAGTGCAGCTTTGCCGAACGTCCCAGAATTCAATGACTTGTGCGTAACCCTCGCGGGCGGGCAGGATTTGTAATGCTGGTGACATTACAGCGATAGGTGTTGAGGTACTTACCTGGGCTGCTAGACACAGCCGTGAAATGTGCAGAATGGCACCAGCGATCGGACTTGTAAACGCCATGCCCTCAGGGTTCGATTTTGGCCGGATGCAGGCAAGGCGAGCAGTTGATGAGCACTCAACTCAACGAGATTTGTATAGACCTGTACAGAACGAGGGGAGATTGTCGGGCCGTGAGAGCAGCTTCTGCTGAGACCACCTCTTTGTGGAGAAGTGGTTTGTGCAGTTGAATTCAATTTCTCGGCAGCGTTTCCAATCACGTGTGGTGAGTGGGTAGCACATGCAGAATGACATGCAGCCATGCATATCTTTGGGATGTTTGCTGACGGGTATTGGAGATGGGCCATCCATTTTTCTTTCAGAAGGGGCCATGGGTAGCAAGGCCAGCCGCTCCCTGGCGCGAGCATGAAAGAGCTTAGTCACATGAGCCTTTAGAGAAAATTCAAAAAAGTTCGAGGGAGGGACGTGGCAGTCTCGGTGCCTGGCGTCGCCATTGCCAGAAGAGCCGGTCACAGAGTTGACCGAAAGTAGTAGCTTTTGACGTCGAATCCAAGACATGACGACAGCATGATGCGCAAAAGCACAGCATGTAAAGATCGACGGCGAGCCACGACACCGAGACGGCAAAAAGGAGCACTCGCCGCACGCATGTCTCTTCGTGGGGAACTCGTGAATCGTCTTCGTGCAAAGAGTTGATTCCCGAGCCGCTATTCTGAGCTGGTGACTTTCGGTCGCAGATTTTCAGGCCAAAGTGTGCCGATGGTGCTCCAGAGGATACCAAGGCGACACTGCGTGCGATGGCGCAAGCATGCGAACCAGCCAGATACAGCCCGCGGCAGGATGACTTGTCGCCTGTCGAGGTGGAGGAAGCAGAGGTGCCGAGCTTGCCTTTAGTGAGCGGCCGAAGTCTTCAGATGTTCTTGCCCACAGGAGCCACCCCCTCCGCCTCCTCCGCTGCCGCCTCCAGCCGAAGAGGAGACAGTTGCTGTCGATTGGTATCAACATCAGTATCAGCATTAGTATTAGCATTGGTATCAGGATTATAGTATTAGAGTATTTTGTATTTTTTGTTGGTATTATTCGTATTCGTAATTACGATTACCATTGGCATTCATCAAGTCCCGGAGCCTTTGATTGTGGATCTCATGGAGCGAATGCAAAGGAGAAGCCTGGCTTGCTGAAGCGAATCCTTTGGGGAGGAAAGGCAGAGGACCCGCAAAACACACACATGGGTAGTTCTCTAGATCAGGGTCCCTAGGTTTTTTTTTCATAAGCTGCCGTACTATGTTTGAACCTAAAGAGGGACCCTAACCCGGAGAATTAGCCACATGTTTGCCGGGCTACGTTCCTCGGCGTCACTTCAGCACCGTGCTTGCAGTCGCTTGTTGCGGTCAAAGGCAGATAGGTAGTCGGGTTTGTGCGAAAGTTGCGTTGTTCAATGCTGCATATCGTCCCCATGTCTCGCTGCTCAAATCAAAGCAGAAGCATTCCCGGACATGAGGCTCGATCCTAGGAATGAGTTTGCACCAGGAAGTCCGACTCACAGTCCGACTCCCGAACCCGGTCGTAGTGTAACTGCGTTCCCCTGTTGTTCCAAGTTGCGATGAGCAGTGAGGCAGATCCGTTCCTGCTGGATGTTATCCATCTTCTGGGGAGATATACGGACACTGCCCGACATGCCCTCGTGGCGGAGCTTGTTGAGGACAGATGGGAACAGCCAGCCACCGCTCTCGCATCAATGGCTGCTAATGCTAGCGACGAAGAGGAAGCATTGCGACAGCGACGAGTGGAAGAAGAGCAGTCGGTCGATAAGGCCTTGGACCGCTTTAGCTCCATGGCTTCCGGCGAGAATCGCCGTTGGGTGACCGGTTCCAACGAGCTTCTCCAGATGTACTTTGCAGCACGGCAACAGGAGCTGGATGTGGTGAGGCGGTGCTTCACCGACGCGGAGTCGAAAGCGAAGTTTACTGCGGCTGTGACAGACCGGACTGATTCCCACCTGGGGCCCTTGAAAAAGCTGCCGAGCTCCCCACATCCTCAGGAGCCTGACCTGGACTTAGCCTCCACTCGCCAGGCTTGGGCAAAGGAGGTGAGTCAGGGTATTGTCGCGTCCTTGCGCCAGGACTGGCGGAATGGCCAAAAGCAGACATTGCAGGCTTTGGCCAAAGATATGCGCACCGCAATTCGGAACATGACTGCCGTGCTGAAGACCCACCTTGCCACCCAACAGAAGATGTCCGAATCTGCAGCTTCTTCCTGGAGCAGCCAAATCACGAAGGTCCAGCAAAGACTGACCCAAGTTGTTCGTGCCTGTCGGTTGGCTTTTGAAGCCATGCTTCAAGCTGAGCTGAAAGAGGTGAGCAGATTCTCGGCTCGGCAGAAAGAGTTTTTTGAGCGTGAGATGCAACGAGCCCACCAAGCTGATTCAGACGACTCACAAGCAAGGGCTGCCCAAATCAAGAAATTGAAGCTGGCTTTGGCAAAGTGGCAGAAGCAGTACATGAGCGATGCCCTCCAACGAGCGAAGGAAGCCCAAGCAATCAAGGTTGAGACGGCCCTTTCGAAGGAGCATGTGACAGGAGAAGGGAGCGCCTTGGCTTTGGATGCGAAGGGAAGGGAGTGGCTGGATGTGCAAATCCCGACACTCCAACAACAAGCGAACGACGAAGCAGAGGCTGCCTTGGAGGGCTTTAGCGACGAGGAGAAGGCTGAGCATATGCCGGCAGTCGAGCAAGAAATCCTGGATCGGCTTCTATCAGAATCGGCCACGGATCGCCTAGAAGCCTGTGGAATTGTGCTAGAACATCTCTGGGAGCATTCCACCAGCCAAGAAGAAACCTGGAATTTCATTTATGGGCTCGAGGAGGAGGTGCCGTGCACTGCTGCTGCGGTTTCCCTTTACGAGGAGCATTTAGCAAAGCATGGCATTTTTGCTGCGCTGGGTGGGCCTCTTGTTACGAGCTCGGCCTTGGAAGAGGCCGAAGCTGCCGCAAACTTGGCATCAACGAAGCAAACTGCGGCGAAGCGGCAAAGTTCTGCAGCTGCAGCCAAAATTGTGCAGAGAGCCAAAGCAAAGGTGTCGACAGCATGCGTCGGGGCGACTGGCACTTCGGTGTTGTAGTGGCATGATTGATGTTGCCGGTACAGGAGACTTGTAAACTACCGAATCTCGCAACGTACACGGTCACATGGAATTGAAGCTTTCCACGAGCATTTACAGCAACGTGCCTGCACCATTGGCAGGATAGAGTCACACGAGAAATTTATTTCTCAATACCCTAAACCCTAAACCCTAAAAATTCCAACATGTTTTGTAGTGACTTTGCAATCGAGAAATGGCAAGCTTGCAGGAACCGGCGGCTCCCCCGGCACCGCCAGCGCCTGCCGGGCGCAGAGTTGTGGCTGACGGTTTGACTGCCCCTGCAGATGCCGGAAGTCATTTTGTATATTATAATACTGTAGTATTTTTTACTATACTATACCATATTATACTATTCTGTAGTATATTATATTATAGATATATAGTATAATATGGTATATTATAGATAGTAACTTTTGGTCCAAGCTGGCATGGTTGAGGTTCCGGCTCCGACCGTTGTCGTCCCGAAGGCCGGCTGTTCCTTGCGCCGCATCTTGCGCTGCACTGCACCCTCTCTTTCAGGTAGGTCGTTGCATGAAGGGAGGTGTCTTTGTTTGTTTTAGCGGGTCAGGGTTAGGGGTTTAGGGGTTGCTCTTCGTCTGCTTGTTTGTGCTGCTTCCACGTTTTCCGAGGTTCATGCACCCAAACGTGCGACAGATGGCACTCTCCCAGTGTCTTGAACGGCTCGTGGTAAAATTGCTTTGGATCAGCATGCCCATGCCAGTGGTTCTTCTTTTTCATCCTTCACAAGGGCTCCTTTGAGGGCTCCTTTAAGGGCTCCTTTGAGGGATCTGTGTTGCTCCTGGTGCCCCAACCTCCGCCACCTCGAGGCGGCTCCAGCAGCGGCAGGCCCTGCTTTTGTGCCTTCGGTGTGTTTCCACGGCCCTCAACCCTAAACCCTAACCCCTAAAACCCCTAAACCCATAAACCCCATAAGCCCTAAACCCCTAAGCCCTAATCCCTAAACCCTAGCTCCGATACTGCAGGCTATCCGTCTGATCCGGCTGGGAGCGGTGCCCCTGCCAGAGCTCCGAAGGCTGCTTTTTTAGGGTGTCTCTGAGAGAGCTAGGCTCAGCTTGGACTATTATATATATATATATACATATATATACACACACATACACACACACATATATATATATATAGTACAGTGTAGAATAGTTATATATAGTGTATTATAGTATACTATAATGCAGTGTAATATAGTATAATATAGAATTAAAAATAGCAGATTAGAGTATACTATAGTCTGGTATAATACGGCATAGTATAGTACAAAAAAAGGTATTCTGTAAACAATCCCGGATCATGCCAGGCTGCAGCTAAGCCCGGCGTGGTTGGCAACTGAGAGAACTGTGTCTTGACGTGCTTTTGACGAAGACTGGGAGACCGCGTTTCAGGTTTGGGTAGACGTGAACCCGAAAGCCTGGCAGAACCGAGCTCAGAGATGCTCAGAGCATGTGTAAAGGTTGGCACCGATTTGTCATCGGTTGAAACGGAAACAGCTGTGCTGTTGGCTCAGGAAAACGACATTGAATGGCCACACAGGTGGTTACATGTTGTGCGAGAAACGACAGCACTCTGCAGGACAGAGCGTGGTTCCTTGTTTCCAGGCCTTTCGTTTCAAGGCTTCGATGGCACGCAGGAGACGAAGTGTGCGCCTCAGCGTCGCAAGATTTCAAGCTTGCTGCATGTGGTCATGTCCTCTATTGCATGCTCCGTGCCATTTGTGCTCCCCGACGCTCAGAATTTTAGGCTTTCGGGTGGGGGGAACCCCAAACACGAAACCGCAGGCCTTGGCTCTCCTACGTGCAACAGCGTGCGGCGTCGGACGAGCGCGTGGCTGTCCTGATTCTGCCATCGCCTCAATAGGTAACCGAGCTGGTTTCGCGACATGGCCCTCTGCTGAATTCTGGTCTCCAACTTGCGACAAGGAATCGCCGCCACAAGAACGACGCTGTGGCCATCAAGCAATTCTGTCGGATTCTTGTTCTCCAGAATTGTGCCCAGCTTGGTCAGAACTCCGGCTTGCTTGGCGTACCTTGCATTTCAGGCGCATCGAAGCGTGTGCCCCCTCCGCAATTCATCGTCACAAGCTTAGCAACACTGCTTCATCAGACTCGTGCTTCTTGCTGTCCTCAGAATGCAGTCAGGTTTGTGGCAAAGGAGCGCCTGAAGAGGTGTGCCGAGAGTGGGGGATGCAGGACGATGGTTTTCCGCAAGCCTCGGTCCTCGACTAGTGACTAGTAGCATGCCAGATGCATCGCCCATCTTAGTCGAAGCACAAACTACATGCCAGGACATTCATGTCACCAAAGATTGGGTGCAGCGCTTGGCACGTGTCTGCTACACTCAACACAAGACCTCTGCGACAACAAGCTCAGCTTGCTCACTGAGGACGAAGCAACTCGCATAGCTCTCAGTGAGGCTGCAAAACTGCTTGTGTCGAAGGAGAGGGACTTTTTGCGTGAGGAAAAGGATAACAAGACCATTGGCTTGACAGTCCCGATCCAAAGCTTCCGCTTGCCTTGGAGGTGCGCACTCCGGGGCCGCTGCCACTGCCCCGCACACCACTCGGAACTGCCCAATGAAGTAAACACTTCAACTGCGAGCGGGACTTGGCATTGCCATGGAGGTGATTCAGAGATGGTAGTAGTCGTCCCTCGCTGCTCCCATGTCCCGTTTACTCTTTCGTGCGCGGCATCTCGTGGCTGCACTTCATGCAGCTACGGAACACCTTCAGCTTAGCTCATCGAGCTGAGGTGACCCAAGGCACAGAGCAGCCACTGACATGTGAGCAAATAATCGCAGAACGCAGTTGACAAGATGCCACACACTACCATACTCTACCTCTACCGGGCAACGCAGATGCCATGTGGTTTCAGTCAGGGATCGCAAGGTCACGTCAACTGGACAGCCTTCTCGTGGTTACTCACTCCGGCCAGTTTTATGGAGGACATCGCGACTGTACAGGTAGATGCCTGGCGTGCTGGCCGTTCGTGCGCGGGCAGAGAAGTTGGCTAGTTTTTGCTTTGACCAATGGTGGACGATGGAAGTGTCTTATCGGGGTGCTCAGCGTTCATCGCATAGAATTGCTGTGGGCTGGGTTCCCGTTCTGCTCAAGCCGCGTGCCGCACATGCTGGTCACATACAAGAAGATAATTCAGGATCACCAATTTGCACCCCGACTCCAGATTCAGATGTGTGTCTCAAGAGGAATCAATTCAATTTTTCGGGTTTCATGTTTGCTTGCTGGACAGCACAGCTCTGGATGACATGAGACACTGGTAGCAATATCCGTCAGCTATGGGCCGGAGAAGTGGCACCTGCCTCCGCTCGTGTTTGTGCTGCCACGCATGGTCTCGTCTGACCTTCGCAGCAGAGTTTACGAGTCTTGTCAAGGTGCCTTTGGGGCCTTTGCTGCAGCAGCGACTACGCCGCTGCAGCAGCAATAATACCAAAATCATGCTGCTGCATCGGAGCTGCAGCGCAAAAGCACTCATTTGGACCAAGCGACAGCATTTGTTGCAAGGCCAGCGAAGACCGGTGCCTTCTCCCGCTTCGCTGACGAGGCCGGAGCTCTGACACAAACGATTCCATGTTTCTATTTTGGCCGCGAAGCCCTGAGGCTCCTGGCGATGCTCCGAAAGTGACGCTGCGAGCTGAGACTGGGATAGCAGTCCAATGCCAGACGATGCGCAGATGTTGGCGTTTTCAATCACCTTCCCCTTTTGCATTCTGTTGAGGCCAGTGCGGACCAAGAGGAACAGTCCGGCAAGCGGCTTAATCGTCTTAGGTCATGTGCTGCAGTGTTGTCTTGGCCAAGCCGGCAACGGACTTTGAGCGATGTGGCTCATGTGTCATGACTTCAAAAGACATAATATTCATTGTCATGATCCTGCCTGAAAGATTGTTCAAATCCAGCGATTATCATGGCATCCAACGCTTGGGTCTGTCTATATTCAAGCAAAACTTGGCCATTGAACGTTTCTTGAGATTGGACAACTGCCCCTGCCCCATGTCTAGTGCCATCCCAACAGCCCTCAGTCAGATGCCAGCGCAGTGGCTTCGACCCTTCCGGAGAAGACTGCCGCAAAGCCGAAATGCAGCACAAGCAGAGCCTGAATACACTTCAATAAGGCCCAAAAAACCAAGAGTAATGAGGCTTCTGGTGGATGAATTAGGCGAAGTAGGACTCCTTAGGAACACTGCTGTCTACCATTTTGGATTTGATTACGGAGATACTACTTGTAACTTGTAGATTTCCTATTTCACATTGAATACTCGATGCCCGAAGAAGCTTCCCACAAGCGCGCCAACTCAAGACGCATGCACGATTCAACACTTTGCGACATCGAAAGCTTCAAGCACATCTACGACTAGGACTTTTTGACTTTTTGGATTGCAAGGCACCAGAGCTCTCGTTAGACGAAGTGCGGCGTCTTCTGGAGGCCTTCCGATCTGTGAGTGGCTTTGCTGGGCAGTTTGGCTTTGCTAGGGCCGTTCTTGGAAGTGCTTTTAGGATGCTGCTTCCCTTCCTTGAGCGTGAAATCAGATGCTTTTTTACCTTCCAGTACAGGAAGCATGTTCATGCCAAGAACGGTTGATCCAATGTTCGTCGTTTGTTTTCAAGTCGTGATAGTGCATGATGGCACAGCTCCTCTGCATGTCTCCCTGTAAGGAATTCGAGAAGGGCTTCACTCGGTTGAGCAATCACGGGACCTAAAGCCGCCACTTCCGGAGCACCGAAAAACAGAATGGAAGGAGCTTCGGACCGTTTCCAACAGTGCAAAGTTCCAGAAGGTCCCGGGCGGTGCCTTCAGAGGTTCAAAGATCGGGTTGTGAGCCCAGCCCAGCAGGATTTAGCGGAGCTACGGAGAATGGACTGGGGGGCCTTCAAGAAACGCGAGGCCGGCATCGCGGGGCCAGAAATGAGTGCATTTCAGGCCTTGCCACGCAGGCCGTAGCGAAGCTGCTCTCCATCTTTTGGAAGGCCTGCTCAAGCTCGCAATTCCGTTGTGTAGCACCCTTCTGGCTGGCCCCTGGAACCTGAAGGCAACTCTTAGAAAGCACGGCTTCGGCATCGACGGTGCTGGCTTCCCTAACCTTCTTCAAGTCGTCAAGGACGGATTTTTTGTGCAAGAGGGAGGGAAAGAATTCATAGAACATGTAAGCAATATCAGATTATACTGTAATATACTATACTATAACATAATATCAGTACGATATGACTGATATAATAGTTTAATAATCAACATGCAATATAATATGATATACAATAGTGTTTTGTCAGCCGAGTTGGACTCGAGACCTCCGGGAAAAGTGCCGCTGTCCGGCCTGCCTTTTGGCTCCTTGGCAGCTCCCGCCAACGGGGTCAAGCTCCGTTAAGGGCAGCGCAGTGGACTCAGCTTTGATCATTCCATTCGAGAAGAACTGGAGTCAGTGCACGCCTCCTGAGTCAGATTCTCAGGCTGCTCATGGTGCGCCAAAGAGCGCCGCCAATCTTGAGACTACTCGTCGCCGACGCCTCAGACATCCTTAAACTTGCTGCAGCTGGAATCTGAAAGCCAAAGCCAGACAAGCGAAGACGAGCCAGGTTCTCGTCGGATTGGCGAAGAGCCATGAGGCCGAGGCCCGGAACGAGCATGCTTTCCTTTGCGCATCGCCCGAGAACTGTCTGCCGAGGACGGACGTGAAAGCAGGCAGTGGTATAGCAGGATACCTGAGACTCCCGGCATTTGTTCAGCAGTTTTTGATCAGTGAGTGGCATCATGAGCCTGTCAAACACAAGTTGTTAAGGATCGTGGTCTTGGACCCATCTATGAGCTCTAAAGAGCTCAAGGCGAGTTGCATTGCGAGGTGTTGTCTGTCCTTGCCCATTTAGAAGGCCCGAGCGCCCTTCAGGCAAAGCTGTCGGAGGTGAAAGACGCGACGTCCCATTTTGGACCTGCCTACCCCCTAGGATTTTCTGCTTGACCAGCTTGCAGACTTTCAGTCCGAGGCAAGACGTGCGGTCTTGCTCAAACCCGGGGCTTGGCCCTTGAGTCGGTGAGTATCTCGCAAAGGGACACTGAGACTGACCTGAGGTCTATCCTCATGACATGTGGATCGATATAGGCTGCGGGGGGAAGGGACTGGCATGACAGCGCCTGCTTGTGCACGCGAAGTGTCCCTTACGCCACTGAGCTGTGAACCCACGTTAGGGCATTGGGGCATGCACAGAATTTAGCTGAGGAAGCAGCTCACTGCCACTGCTGCACGGGTTTTGGTGTGCCGCGATTGATGGTGGAACTTAGCAGCTGTCACAGGGTTCACCTTGTGAGTTCTTGGTGTTTTGAAGGAGGGCTTCCCGGTGCTGTCGTCATGAGGAGGTGCATAGCACCACCGGGAATCTTACCACTCGAAGCAACAGGCAGTGAGACCTCGGGGTGCAAAGGGGACAGTGAAACGGAGGTGGGCACTTGATGGTCCGAGCGCACTTCACGGAAGCCGACAGGGTTGCAGCTTGTCATGACAACGTGTGTGAAATGCGGCTGGATCTTCATAGTTCGAAGCCCGAAAGCGCTCTGGAAGTCGTTCCCCGCATGTATGTAAGGAATGGCTGAAAGCCTATGCTTAGTACAAGCACGTCTACACACGCAGCATGGAAGAACAGTGTCTTCTTTTCTTGTTTCTGCAAAAGCCTGCAACCTTGGTCGGACTCGGTGAATTCGACCGAAAGCACTGCTCCTGTTTGTATGCATTGGGTTGACCTGTTGGAAAAGCGATGCAAAGTGGGAGTTCCGCCTTCATTGGACCGAGATCTTCCTAATGCGAAACATATTTTGTGGAAGCCAACAATGCGATGCGTAAGCCAAACACTTCAGCACAGAAACATCGCAGCAAAGAGGCATTACGGACAAGTGCAGATTTGCCAACTCAAGCGCGCTGCCCTGCGTGCTCATACTACTGATTCAAAGGCTGGGATGTGTCGCCTTGAATTGCAGGCTACTACACCACTGTCGCTGGGGTCGGCAGAGGTCCTGAATCTGCCCTGCACCGAATGGCCTTTGCAGCCGTGCCTTCTCGTTGTTCCTTTCTTCGTGTCCCAGGTTGTAGTCCCGGATGCCTGGGCCAAGCGCCCAGAGTGTTTACAACCGCTGCTCGGGTTGCTCAAACACCCCCCCCCCCTCGCTCAGGTCAGTAATGACATCACAGATCAAGCCGAGACCTTGACATTCTTGGCTGTGAATCCTTGATCGTCGATTGTGGCATATGGGGCAGGCGGTAGGCGTGACTGAGCTACAGATGCAGCTGGTGCAGTATGTCATGCATACTGATTAGTGCAGACTGGTCCCTAGACTCACGAGCTGGCCATCACCATGGACATCTTGACATGATAAGCCCGGACCACAAAGCCAAAGCCTGAACCCCCCAAAGTTCAGGCAACGAACAACTTCTGGCGCTCGCTGGAAGGAGTCACTGTGACAGCGGGACGCCGGAGCCTCAGCATCGCCCAGCCATCAGAGTAGTAGCAATCGAGTACCACGAGCCGACCATGAGATAGCAGTGGCAATTATACCATTATAATTTATAATCATTAGTGTTATAAGAACTTGGCAGCGCCCAATATTTAGTTTGGTGTTTACTTGGTGTACGAGTTTGGCATTCTTCGAGTGTTGCTTTGTGCTGACATAGTTCTTTGTGTTTTTAGGAGTAGTACTGGTGTGTTTGCATGTATGTATAGGCTGGTTGTATTGCTTTCTAACGTGTGCAGTCCGCTCCTATGACTCGTACGTGAGCATCCTCCAGCCCCTGCTGGGCTCGGATGCGAGCACTTTGCAGCAACAACAAATTGGATTCCAGCTTGGACACAAACACCTTCCAGGAACACCAACTTGGACTCCAAATAAACGCAAAAACCGACGCCAACAAATGCGATGTCCCGGCCGCGGCTCCGTGCTTGCGATTTTCCAGTTTCTTGACGGATGCGTTCAGTTTTTCCTTGTGTGTTTTCTGGCATTTCTGCGAAACTCGTCTTGGACCCTCACGGCCAAACACAACTAACCAAAAGCACCAACAACAAAGGACAAAAACCAATACTCAGACAAAAAACCACCAGAAATATCCCAACACAAAAAGCGCAAAACGAGGACTCCAAAAAACGCAGAAAAGGTCAAAGACGTGTGTTGCTGATTTGCAATGCGTGGTTGTCCGAAAATCTTATAGCATTAGCGTTGTTTTCAGCAACCTGGTAACCCTGGAAGCTACCTGGCTGCGTGGCTGAAGTCTGCATGGCTTGAACGGCTCAGGCACCATGTGGGCTGTCTCACAGGCCTGTCCCAACAGGGTAGTAGTTGCTCTTGCAGTATGTATGTATGCATGCATGCATGCATGCATGCATCTGCACATATATATATACACATATATATATACATGCATATATATATATGTATGTATGTATGTATGTATGTATGTATGTATGTATGTATGTATGTATGTATGTATGTATGTATGTATGTATGCGTGTGTGTGTGTGGGTGTGTGTGGATGCAGTTGTGCCTGCATATAAACATAAACCGATAAATATTAATTCTTCGGTGCAGGCAGCACCGCTTCGAAGAGCAATCGTCAAGAACGAGCTCTGGCTCTCTCACAAGGCGCGATTCGTCAGGCTGCACCCTGCAGCTGAGGCAAGAACTAAACATCATGGTGTTTCAAGTTGATGTACCAAAGAAACATATTCAGTATTGATAGGATTCTGCCTGCCACAAAAGACAGGATCTTCACCACGGATTCCGCAATGATGATAAATCTTGTGCCCAAACACCTGCCAAGACCCAACAGGCGGGATACTCCAGCGGTGGCTTCATGAGTGATGTGGAGGCCACGAAACGGCCGCACAATCTCGGGCATTTTGCCTGTCGAACTCAGGTGAACGGGAAGCTGGTGATGGGCACCCAGCAGCAATGGTATGCACGGCAGGTGTCCCTGCCGCCGGAAGGACAGCGAAACGTGCCTCAGGTGTATTAATTACAAGCTGTCGAGGCCTAGCTGAAACGCTTTGCTGTTCAGAGGACTTTACTGCACCGGCGGCTGGAACTACATTTTCCAGGGTGCATCTTGGCCTTTCAGTCTCACAGCAATCACAGCTTTGCTTGAAACCTAAAGCGGCAAGGGGACAGTCGTTTGACAGTCAGGGTAGTTGTCGCAGTTTCCACCACCGGCTTGTTGCACATGTACGTCAAAACCTGGGCCAGCACCGAGGCTGTCGGACTTGACAAAAAGGACATGCACGCTTGCGATGGAGCCGGAGCCTTGACTCCCTGCAATCCTTTGTAAGTGTCTTTGCCGTCTCCCCCGGCTAGGGCATGACCGAGAAGGTCTCGCAGGTGTCGGGAATACCAAGCTTGGACCTCAGCTCCGCTCCGCCTGATCGGATGTCACGGTGCTCTTGGCTGAGTTCCTCCATATAGTTTACAAGGATCTGCCGAGAAGCCATACCTTGTCTTCGAGGACATGTGGCAACTGCTCTGCCTTGCTGATGTTGAAAGGGCTGCGGTGTGTTCGCAGGAGACATCCGATTGGAAGATCTACGTGCCGAAGATGCTGAAAAATCCAGCTCCTGGTGCGATTGGCAAGGACTGCTCCATGACTCCAAGACTCGAAAGGGCAACTTGCCTACTGCTGAATTTTTGTCTAGCTCTAGCGACTTGTGTCGGGGCTGGAGAGTGTTCGAGTGGCTCGTGTCAAGACCGAGGCCTAAGGCCTTTTCCTGTAGCTACATGAAGTGCTAGAGAGCTTCATCTTGCCACTGTCCGACAAGACCGGCGAATTTGGAAGCTTGCCTCAGGGCCCATTGTAGGAGTTTCGGAACTCAGAGGTGATGTGGTGATGCTGCGGCATGACGTGGCGAATGCAGCGTTACACGAGTGCACGAAGACCATGCAGAAGTGCTGCGATTGGTACTTAAGACTCTCTCGCGCCCCGCGCGCGCGCGTGCGCGCGCGCGCGTGTGTGTGTGTGTCTCTGTGTGTGTGTGTGTGTGCATGCGTGCGCGTTTGTGTCGATCCTTACTTTCTGGTGGTTCAGCCAATGACTTGCTCGAGGGTGATCTTCGGCTTTGCACTGAAGGGCTGAAGCCCCGAGATGATTGCGAAGACGATTTATTGATGATGATGATGATGATGATGTGGATGGGGAGGACGGGATGATGATGGTGATGCCGATTGCTCTAGCGCGAATAGTGCGCAGGTTCGAAGACTTTTGTGGCTGCCTTGCTTCAGTGCCAGTCTCGGGACATGAAGACGGTGTGCAGACCTGGTTTTGAGGATCAGTGCAACAAAAAATGTTTTGACGCCAGGACCGCGAATCACACATTGATCGTGCGCTCTACATCGATTCCGATGTCAGGGCCTGTGCCATGACACCATGCGAGTCGCAATGCAGTTCTGAATGCCTCTGCCTCCTTGGTGTCGTCTTGCCTTATCACTTCGACCGGTGAGTAGAGCAGAGTTGGCCACATGCACTTCGCTCTCTGTAGAGTCCCTGGATGTGGAGAAGGTGTTCATTGCCACTCCGGACATGTCGGCTTCGGATATCAATCGAGGCATGGCGACGAAGGCGCCCGGCAGCACAAGCTTCACCGGCATAGCGCGATGAAGTGAAGGTAGATTCAGTCAGATCATGTGGCGGTCAGGTTTCGAGAACTGTTGCAAGCATTCGGATACTTCCACATTGCACATCAGAAAGTACAGCCCCGGAGACTTCGTTGTACACAGGAGGGCATGCTGCTGACACCCGGTGCCGGCTGCTCAATTTATTGAACATGTTCGCTAGGTATGCGCTCGCAGCAAAACAGCTGTCCAAAGCATTGTGACACCTCTGAGATCTACCGTCTGGACGAGCCTCTGGTGATCACTTCCAGCGGTTTCGTGCTACTCGGGATAGGCTGCTGCCTTGGCCGTTCGTCTAACACAGTTTTGGCGGTCCCACATGCAGAGTCACCGGCATTGACAGTTTGTCGCTCAACTGCGGGAGAAAGCTTTGTTGTTCTTTGACGGAGCTACGACACTCAAGAGCCATGTCCTCATGTGAGCAGTTCATAGTAACCACACCGCGAGCTTAGCTATGCATAGCTCAGCGCCAGGCTTCCCCACCTTGGTATCACCACCTGGACGATCGTGTCTGCAGGCGGCGGCATGGGTCGAGTCTCCCTCCAGTCAAGACTGCTTGCAAAAGCGGCGACCGTGGGAGGTGACAGACTTTCTGAACGATGTGAGTTCGGCACCTAGCCGTGTTCCAACAATCGCCAAGAACACCACCACTAGGATGATACCCAAGACAACAAAGTTCGGAAATGGTCACAGTGACCTAGGACCTGCTATTTGTGTCGTGTGCGACGTAGAAGCCACATCTTCAGGGATCGCGGGCATCATGCTGGATGCGGCCACTCCAGTCCTCGGCTTCTATGCGTCTCAACCTTACGATCGATTCGCTTTTGGGGATTCGCTTGTGTGACCGATGTGACCGTATGTCCGATCCAGCGGTTGCTTTACAGGGAGCCGCTGCTGCAATGGGGAAGCCGTGGCGAGACCGACGCAAGATCGGCGGAAGCAAGTACCGGAGTCGTTGATGGCTCAGCTTGCATTTTCCCTGTGTGGCGTGCAGTTTCCACACGCAGTTTCCACACTCGGGCAGATCCAAGGCATCTGACATTTTTGCGCGTGTTGGAGCCTTTAAATATCTGGGCCTGGGCTGTGCCCCCGTCAGCATGCGCCTAAGTTTCTCCTGTGCATCCTGCGCCTAGACCTGCAGATCTTTTTTTGTCTTCAGGAGCCAACACGCTTATGGAATTCAATTCAGACAATTTGATCATCGACAATGTCCACTTCTCGGAGGGTTATTTTCTTGTTTCTTCATTGCAGTTTTTGACGTTAGCTTTGCAGGTTTGGGCCTGGCATGCTGATCATGACGACTGCTCCAATTTCACGATGGCGTCTCATCCGAACTCAGCCGTAAAGCTCCATGTACGTTCTTTGTGCGCATTTCCGACGCAGAGAGCCATGATTTATTCCGTGCTGAGACGCCGAACAACAACGAAAAAGAACCCATGTTGCAGCACAAGTTCAAGTCAGACAAGCACGTGCCTCAGAGACGCTTCGCCTGCGTCAGGTGTCATGTTTGCAGAAGCAGTTTGAGCTCGACAACACGACAATGCAAACGCATTGAATAGCGTTTCATTAAGTCGGGGCTCCCTGCAGATTCCTGCAGTCCGGTTGAGGTGCTGGAGCCAACATGGCGTTGTCGTGAATGGGCTCGGCCCCTTGTCGCTAGCCAGAGTGTTAAGGTTGTCGGTTGACCTTGGGCAGGCGCAACATTATCGCCTTCGGCGTTGCCGTGGAGCACATTATCGTCAAAACCCCAGCGGCAAAGATCAGAAGGTCAAAATTCCTCTGTGCATGTTCCGCACTGGAAGGATGGACATCTTCTAGTCTGGAATGGCGAAGATGGACAGCAGGGTTCTCAAGGTATGTATATGTCTCTCTCCAGAGATTCCCCACGGTGCATTGATCACGTTGTAATGGCAGTCTTGAAGCTTGCGAGGCTTGCGTGATGTTACAGGTCTCATGTTTGGGACAAAGAGCCTGCTAAATGTGGGCATGCGATCGATGCTGTTTTTCCTTGTGCAGCTCTGAGGCTTTATTTCTTCCAGGCGGAGCTACCATACCATTCGCGGCTGAATCTCGAGCCCGCCTCTCAGATGTTCCTAAGAGAACAGGGCCACCAAAGAGGGGACAGCCGCTATGTTCTGTCATTGCGATGACTGCTACAATGGTAGGCCCTGAACTCAGCAGGTAGGATCTAAGGCATGCCAAGTCGTGTCTTAGTCTCTAAGTCACTTTCAGCTGGCAAGTTGACTGCGTAGGTCAGTGCTCGCGAGTCATCGCGAGTCACGACTCCACAAGTTTACTAGCACATTGCGATTCCTTGCCGCACCCAACACAAAGGAGCAGATATGCTGCGTATGTCGTACCTCCGCGCGGGACTTGGTGAGTAGGAGAGCGACTCGATCCGTTGGCAGTTTCAATGCATTTTCTTTTGTATCTGTGAGCCGCAGTGCTTCTTTCACATCAGCATGATAGCATGACGATCATGTTGGAACTTTGGTTGCTACTAGAGTCTGATCGAGGACTTGAGCTGATTATCTTCATTCTTGCGCTATAGTATAGCATGCTTCCGATTTGTTTATGGGAGTAGGAGTAGCGTCGTCGTAGTCGTAATAGTCACAGCGGTGGTGTAGCAGAACTAGTCTCAGTAGCAGCAATGATATGTAGTGATTTGTGCAGTTGCTCGTTTTCTCGTTACTGATACTTTGTGTTCGGCGGTATTGGCTGAGACATACAAGGACAGACATCACGCATCAGCCGCACCGACCTCATCTCATGCAGCAGAATGCTTAACTTGGGAATTCAATAATATAAGATACATTCTATACTCTACTAAGCTTTGCGTTTCGTAAGAATCAGGGCCAGGGTGGCGTGCTACCCTCGGCAGTGGGTGACTTTGGGAAGATGATGCCTTTGCAAGAACCCCTAAACCCTGAGCAGATTCATCTCGTATCTGCAGGGTTCCAGACAAACCTGAAGGTGCAATGCCCTTTCTATTGAATAGACTTAGTTAGGGTAAGGGTGGACATTGGTTTGCAGCCGTGGAGTTCGGTCGTGGGAGCTGGGGTGGGTAGGGAATGATGACGACGGCTGTGAAAGGCAGATGTCAAGATGGCTTGGGCTGTTGCGACATGCAAAATCGGAAATCGGAAAGCTTCCCAGCTCCATCGAGGAAGTTCATCGCTGTCGCAGGCAAGTCTTCAACCACTTCGGAGTGGGCATCGGCGTTTACATCATTGGTGGACATCCGGTCCGCGGGGCGAAACGGTGGCTGATGTGTTTGGAAGTTCTGCCATCAGTCATTGGCCAAGTAGGGCAGGCATCCAGCTAGTTGCATTGGTTCTTCTTGAGCATGACTGCAGAGCACTCGTGACATCGCAAGAGAAGCACTTGCTTGGCTTGGCACTAGACACTGAGGATCTCGGCATCTTATCTTTGGGTTTCTTTGTGAATCTCTGCAGGCCTATGCCGCCCTGGAGATATCGGCCTTCACCGACATCAGAAAGGCCTCCACAGGCTGAAGGAGATGATCCTGAAACAGTAACTGGCTGCAGGTGTTGACCGTTGTCATCGGCAAACAGAACCAGCTCTTTCGCCACCAGGCACTCTCATGGTTAGGCAGAACGTCTGTTGAAGGCGAAGCTTGTCTGAAGCACAAGGTCTGTCAAGTCATGCTCGATGGCTCAAGGATATGTCATCAGCATCTTGGCTGCAGACGCTCTGCTTGTCGCTTCAATTCCAAGCTGCAGTAGTTTGGGCTATGCGTGGAATGTGCGAGCGTTTAAGCTTGAGCGTGAAGCCCGTGAACAATTCCTGAATCGAAGTCTTCTCGCGCAAATCGGCAGCCGTCCTCCCCGACCATCAAGGATTTGAAGTCTGAAAGGCGAGGGCCGCCATGCACTGCAGCGGCAAAGTGGACACAAACCATGAGCTGAAACACAGCTATAGCACTAACTGGAGCGACTGTCAAAATCCTGCTCCACCCGCAGGCGTAACTTACCACGCACAAATCAGAACGTCAGATGTGAAGTTCGGACCCTTTCTGACACATCCCTGCGACCATCCTGGCATCAAGAGGGATGGGCCTCGAGTAAAGCTGCGATTGGAAATGAAGATCGGCCCGTTCCACGAAAAGGACGCAAGCCTCCGGTTTGGCGACGGAGGAACCTCTCACATTTGGGCTTGTTTGGACGCCATCAGATCGCCTGACTTGGGACGGCCCCAGTTTGGTGGCGTCGATCTGCGGGGTCGCGGAGACGGTCTGGTGCACATGGCATTGGGTTTGTCGGGTTCTTGGGGGCACTGGGCTAGCTGGCAAATCTTAGCCTTGATCGTATTTTGTTGTCAACAAACGCGTTGAAGGTCTAGAATGGTTTAGAGATTTGGGATGTCATGCCTCCCTCAGTCTTTGCCCTGCATCGTGGGGTGTTTGGAGACGATCGTTGCCCAGCTGCCGTCCCAGCTACTCCTGCCAGAAACGAGCGACCAAGATGGATGCGCCTGTTGCATGTGTGCACCGGTGTCGCCAAGCATCGGAAGAATGCCGCCCTTGGTGCCTCATGCCATGTTGTCGTGGCTAGCACCGAGATTCCAACTGAGCTGTGCATACAGACGGAAAAACAGAGACGATAACAATGCACAGCAAGAACTCAACAGCAGATTCGATTTGGCGGAAATGTTAGCACCCGTTTTTTTCTCCAGGCCAACACATTGCCAGTGGGCTCGTTGCTACTTGGCAACTCTTCCCCACGGCGACGTGGAATTTTACACGTGACTCGGCATCTCGATCTCACCGGCATTTCTTGCGGGCTCAGCTTCTGATGACTGGCACTTGTGGTTGTTTAAGCTGACGAGCCAGCTCCAAGCTCGGCGCAAGCCTTCCTTGTGCAGCAACGGGCGAATATGGTTCGTTTCAGAGCCTTTGGACTGTTGACTGAACACTTGCTTTGAAGGGAGTAAGCCAAAACCTTTCTTGCACTGTGGTACTCGTTTCAGAGTTCTCGGGCAGTGGATGCCAGCTCAGGAGTGGCCGCATCCGTCCTATGGTGTTGCCAAATGTTCATCTCCTGCCGCAGCCGGAAATCAAGCAGCGTCTCATCCTGGATGCGGAGAAGTGCAGGGCTCAGTCTTTGCAAATCCTGAGAAGGGCGTCGGAGTCTCGTTCGGAGCCCTTGAAGCGTTCACGGCTAGACAAGAACACCCGGTAACATTTCGGCACTGGCTTCTTCTCAGGAGGAAGGAAGTGTCCGTGGACTTCGAAGACACAGAGGCTGAAACTAAGTTCGCGATCAAAGACGACCAGGAATCGCCGCCAGCGGCCGCCACCGCCCGTTTGCGATATGGTGTTCTGTCGGAGTAGTGTCGGGAGGACCGCCATCCCAGGCCAAACCAAAGGCTGGAGCTCAGCAGGGGTGCAGCAGCATGAGTCGTCACGGGTGGCACGGGTAGCCGGGACTCTGGCCCCTTCGAAGGTTTGCTTCGCTTGCGATGGCGGTGAGTCTGCGCGAGGCCAAGCATAGCCTCTGTCGAAGGTCGCTGTGTGTCGCAGTGGTTGCAGTGACCTATCAGTCCAGTTCAGTCGTTTGCAAGCTCAGGCCGCTGGGTGCAGCAGCGTTGCTGCTTCTCGCGGTCAGGGCGACGTTCATTTTCCTGAGAAGCTCGGCCCTCGTGGCCCCCGTGTCTCAGGAGTGTCCCACAGCACCCCTGCCATTCTGTTAGGTCGATCCGATGCCTGTAACGATGACGAGGCGGTCTTGGTTGTCGCTTGCCATGGGAAGTCGTCAGAATTGCCGCAGTGATCTTTCGAGGCTCTGTCGCTGCGGCAAACGGCTCACGAATCTGAGGGTCCGGAGCCTTTTGCTAACTTCTGAGGTGCCTGTGAGGTTTGGGGTGTGATCGCTGCAAGAGTCCAAACTCAGTGTATATGGCGCGGTGCAAAGAAAGCAGGAGAGATTAGGGCCTCAGTTCCGCGGCAGCATGAAATTAATGCATCACCGGGAATCCAGCATCAGTCGGAAAGTAAGTGAGGCACGATGACGGTGACACTGATCTGACTTCGCGTGCTAGACAGTGAGACCAAAGCTCGCATCCACACTCGAAGTAGTCGTGGCCTGCACAATGCCCAACGCTTGGCATTGGAAGAGAGGGTCGCATGTCTCTGGAGCATGTCAGTTCGCGGAATTCATTAGTGCGGCAACTCCGCTTTTCGTGCCTGCATGCAATGCGATGCGAGGCGCGTTGCCAGAGGTCGAAGGAGTTAACGAATCTCCTAAGGATTGTGAATCCAAGGGGCCGCAGCATTGGAAAAGGTGTGGCTGCTCCGTGCGCAACTAGGAAAGGGAGCCTTCATATCGGTCCGGGAGCAGTAGCATGAGAGCTGTTCATGGAGCCCGGAGCACTCACCAGGAGTCGTGGCATTGCGCCATCTCCCTGTATGGCTACCTGTTGACTTACTGTTTTATATGCTGAGGGTACCTTGACCTAAACACAGAAGTGCTGCAGCTTCCATGTGTACGATGTACTCGTTCTGGCGAATTCATGCAGAGTAAAGATGTACTTTTGTGCAATTCCCTGCATTCTGCTTCTACGGCTTTACGTCTTGACCTGCCTACGTACCTAATGACCTACCTACCTACGCAGCACGCACACACACACATATGACACTGCTACTTGTACATGAAAATAAATCATCCATTTAGTCATTCATGCGCCATTCAGTGGGTCCGTCAGTCAGTCATGCATGCATGAATTCATTCAGTCATTCGGCCATTCTGCCATTCAGTCAGTCATTCAGCCGTTCGTTGATTCAATCAGTTAGTCAGCCAGCCAGTCAGTATATATGTATATGCACATATGTATACATGCATGACTACTGACTGGAATCTTCAATTTGTACGGGAAACTAGTAGCCGGTAGTCAGCAGAAAGTTGCCTTGTGGACATACGTTTGTGGGCTTTAGCTGGTTCTCCGGCCTCATTTCTGGGGAACTGGGGGTTGCAATGCACATTCGCAGAACGCACGTATAGCTACATGTTAGATGTATACATGTACACGTATGCAGCTGTTCGGTTACATATCGAATCCGATCAATGATGACTCTTCGTTTCAGGAGCACGGGCACCAACCAGGCATCCGACTCGTCTCGCACGAGGCCCGGTGGCCAAGGTTCAGAAAGCACAGCACGGGCGCAAGCTCTCAGACACCACATCTTGGCATATGTTTTCCCAGGTTGTTCGATCATCTTTTGAGTTGGCTGCTAGAGGATCGCAACTTGTGACCGGGGCCAGGTGGAGCGCCAGCTGCGCATGGTCCCTGGAGCACTGTTCAGACTAACGGCGGAGAGCTCATGCATCTGAAAGAGTGGCCGTCAAGACGTGTTGCAGAGAGCAGTAAAAGCTGAAAAAGGCCAGCACGAATGGTGAGAGCAAGAGCTGGAAGCAGGAGGAGGCGGAAGAAGTCTAGAGTCTAGTGGCCGTCTAGCGAGACTTGCGTCTTTGTCCACGCAGTGCCTTCGCTGCCAGATCGAAACGAGCCGAAAGATCAATGAGAATCCGACGCCTGCTCCAACCTCGACAAAGAACCGGCAGGCACGAAAGTGTTCGCTCGCTATAGATGTGCTATGGAGTGTGCTCAGGCATCGGTTTGCTTTGGGTCTTGCAACCCTAGCATGTTCAGTGGGTGGCAAGCTGGTCATGTTTCTCTGCAATGCAGGAAACGATTCCTCGCCAGATCCGTGGACGGCCCATGTTCTTAGGCGAGGCGAAGGAGATCCTCAAGGTGCGAGACGCGTCCTCGACTCTTCTGGAAGCCCGTGCCATGAGCAATCTTGAACAGGCCTTCAAGGAGTCACTGCTGACGCCTGCCGTCGTGAGGAGCGGGCTTCACTTCATGACTAATTTTGAGGGGCTTACACTTTTGCAGATGCAGATCGACTACACATAGAAACAGGACCATGCAAAACATCGAGCAGCGCGGCGGGATGCACATGGAGCAGCATCGGCGGGTGTTGATCACGCAGGCTCAAATTGGAAAGCTGGGCATTTGTTGCTTGGTTGTCACTTCTTGCTGGCAGGAGTGGAACCCCATCATGAAAAGGTTCGACTTTCCCACCACCGAGGTTGGCAAATGGCAAAAAGACTTCATGCACTGTGCTCAGCTCACATCCCGGTGAGGATGGGTACAATGCCATGAAGTCTGGCATCAGGCAATGTTCTTGCTCGGGGATCCACTTGCCACGTTCGGCTGTGTGCAGTTGAATCAGTGCTTTGAATGATGGATGTGACAGAGTGCGAGGGAGTTTGCGGACAACGACTACGTGCGTTCTTGTTGCCACGAGGCAGCGTGGGGAACTAATCCAACCTCGAGCTGCTCTAGCACATTTCATGTCCAAGGCTGTCGCATGATATTTCCAAAGAGGTACAGTACAGTGAGTGAAAACGTTGCGTGAGTTGAACAGACACGATCAGGTTTGAGCTGAACCTTGAAAGTCTTAAGCCCTAAAGCCGACGATGCCGGGCCGCGACCAGAGACATTCGAAGTGATCGAAGTCGGTCGCACGAAAACATTTACCGCAGTGGTAGCAAAAACACGTTTAATGAACGCAACGGCACTGCGGCTGCCACTGATGCTACGGCCTCGACTGTTAGCCAGTTTCGTCCTTGCACAACCTCGAGGTCGAGCATCTCTGCGGCGCTCCAGCCGGAGCCTACTTCGGCGTCCCCACAGCCGAGGCGCGCACGGCACGACAGCCAGAGAGACTTCCTTCGCGTGCGCGAGTGCGAGCAGAGGAGTGGGCGGCTCGGAAGGCTGCCGAGGCCGGGCTCCTCGTCGCCGAGCATACGCTCGCGGCGGCCCTTCGCTTTCGGAGGCGCTGTTGCTTTGTCTCCCTGCGCAGGCGGAAGCTGCACGAGCCGAGGAGAAGCGGAAAGAGGAGGAAGCCAAGAGAAAGGCCGAAGAATCCCGAAAGGCCGAGGAGAAGAGGAAAGCCGAGGAAGCGAAGAGGCAGGCCGAAGCGGCGAAGAAGGCCGAGGAGGAGCGACAGAGAGCAGAGGCGGAAGCGCGGAGAATCGCGGAGGAAGAAGCGAAGCGGAAAGCAGAAGCTGAAGCTCAGAAACATGAGGAGGAAGAAGCCAGACGGCGTCTGGAGGCTGAATCCAGGAGGAAGGCAGAAGAAGAATCGCAGAAAGCAGAGGCCGAACAGAGGGAAGCGGCGCAGCTGAGCCAGACAGAGGTTCCAAAGAGTGCCGAGGATCAAGCTCAAGTTCAAGCAGAGAATGGTGAGGATCTAAGAACTGAGACGAGCTGCGAACCAGGCCAAGCTGACGAGCTGGAGAGGCTCGCAGAGGAGGCGCGGCAGAGAGCTGCCAAACTGAGACGAGCAGATGAAGCACCGCCTGATTCACCACGAAATGAGCCAGAATCAGGCAGGGACACTGGCGATGCCGTAGCCAGGGTGGAAGAAGGTGAAGCAGTCCAATCGCAGAAGGAAGAGGAGAGCCATGTCCGGGATGCAGCAAAGCCTGTAAGTCCCGACTCGGCAGAGGACTTGCAAGTGAAAGAGTCGAATCTCAAAGAGGAGAGCAATAGCAATTTTTTCCACGAAGAGCATCATTGCTTTGATGTTGCTCACCAGGTGCCATTGTGGGAACTGCCCTCAAAAGAGTCCAGACTTGTCGGGGCTGCCAGCAAAGGCGCGCAACTGCTGGGAGCAGTACAGGAAAGTACAGGGGGACAGCAATGGCTCCATGTTTCGTCACGAAGCTGCCATGCCATGGGTGCTTTGGCTGATTCGGCTTGGGCACTGATTCACGAGCTCAACCTCGTCCCGGCTGTAGAACGCCAGCCGCAGGCTTTGGGCTATGCAGGACGATATGAAGTGGCACATGGAAAAGTGGCAGTCAGGGCTTCTCCTTCTTTGAAGGGCAAGATAATTGGAGTGGTGCACGAAGGCCGAATACTCATGGGAACACCCCATAAAGTTGGTGGCTACGCATGGCTCCGCTTTGAGGAGAGTTCAAGGAAGAAACTCGCAGACATCGGCGAGGAGGCTTGGGCGCTGATAGATGGGGAACCCCTAGGGCTCCAGGAGCTTCTGAGACCATTGGACAACGACGGCCGCAAGACGCTGGAGTCCTTCCATGCGAAGCAGCAACCCGAAGAAGCTTCCACAGCCGCTCTCGCCGGCCCCACAGAGGAGAAGACAGACGGCCCGAGTGAAGGCCATGAAGCGAAAGACTCCAAAAAGGACTCGAAGAAGGAACCGGATGCCAAGCATGATGCTAAGGAGGCCACAACAACGGCGATATCCGACCCAGCAAAGGTGGAATCACGCATGAAGGCAGCTCAACAAGCTCGGGACGTACTTTCTGGACCCATCGAGTACAAAGTCCTTGCCCAAGACCATGCCGCCCCGGTGAGACGAGAGCCACTGGTGCAGTCGCCCGAAGTCGGCAAGCTTGAGAGAGGCCATCCGGGGTCGAAGAGTTTAGGCGAGCCTTTGTGTCGGGCAAGCCCGAGTAATGCTAGTAGCGTGGCAAAGTATGGGCGGTTAGCCCGAATTTTCGCGTGGCTCACGCTTTTGCGATCTTCGAACTCTTCCTAAGCTTTTGCTGCGAGCTCTTCCTGTCTTTCGCGCTCGTCCCGTTGCTGGTATTGCCAATAGAACCACAATCGCAACAACAACAGCAACAGCTGCAACGGCAACTGCAACAGCAAAGACGCCACCAGCGCCAGCAAAGCACCAGCACCACCAGCAACACCAGCACCAACAGCACCACCACCAACGTCAACAGCAACGACAGCCACAAGATCCAGAGCAACAGCACGAGCAAATATAGTAAGAACAACGACAACAACAACCACAACCACAGTGACAGCGACGACGACAAGAACATCAAGAACAGCAAGAACAATAACAACAACAGCAACAACAACAACAACAGCAAGAAGAAGAAGAATAATAATAAAAATCAGAAGACCACGACCACGACGACGACACGAACAGCAAGAACAGCAACAACTACCAACCGCACAGCAATAGCAACAACAACAACAACGACGCCAAGGGTTATCATCGGGATGGGATGGGATGGGTTTATGGACAGGAGTTTTGATGCTTGGGTCATTGAGTTTGGGGAAAGGGTTGCCGCCCTGAAGGTCGCTTGGTTCTCGGTTATCCCGGCGGAGGCGCAGTGCAATTGCAGTCTTAGTAGAGTAGAGGCCAGAGATTCTGAGGGCTGTAGGAGTCTTGCTCAAGCAGACAGAAGGAAATCGAGACTTCGTTTCTGCCTAGATGGCAATCCTTCCAGGATGCTCCGTAAAGATCTATGAAGCAAGCGTCAAGTAAAAACGAGACTTGCGACGGCTTCGCAGGAAGACAGCTTCCTAGTTTCTGCGATGTCACGCATAACGCTTTCATGTTTGTTTGGAGGCTGGTTGCAGCTCGCTGCAGTTGACGACGTTGAGAAGAAGATGCATGGCTGTTGGGCCGGGAAGCACGGAGAGTTTCTGGTGGTGCAGGAGCCAAATCTGTGCTATGTCTGCTGTGTGAGGTCTTCATCGGCACCCGTTTGTCTGCACAGTGGGCGGAGCTGACCATTACCGGGGAGTTTGAGGGAGCCCTCGAGCTTTCCTGGCTTGGCCTCCGAAAGGCCGCAGCTGCTCTGAAAGCGGCTCAGTTCCCCTTCTCTGCGTCTCAGGACAAGCGTGTGGCCTACAACGTGGAGTGGCGCACTCCTGAGGTCCAAAGCTCATAGCCTGTGCCAATGTCATCCTCCTTGGAGTATGGATGACGGATCTGATGGAGCCTCTTCCTTTTGCGGCAGGGCGCTACGAATCCCAAGAAGGGCCACAAGATCTCGGCGGCGAATAAGGCAGCGAAGACACTGCGGTTGTGATCCATAAGGGGCTCAGGGGGCCGTTTCCGAGAATTACGACTGCACGTTGGAATTATGGGGCCATGGCCGAGCATTGTCCAGATTCAGAGGAACCGCCTAGATCGGCTCGCACTTTTCCAGGTCAGCTTCTTGATTTTCAGCGGGCGCGAATTTGGTTGCGAGACGGTCGTGTTTCAGTGTTGATGCTGTCAGACAAAATGCCAGCCATGCGAAATCGACAATGCAGGGTCCCCGAACGATTGTCGAAACTTTAAACTTAATTCACCCTCGGTGTCAGACATCCCTAGTCCTCATTCCGACAATGTTCAGCTTGCTCTGCAAGTGTGGCAGGTGTTGGTGAGCGGCCTTCCACAAGGGTATGCTGCCTAAATTCGTTGGTTGCCGGTTGCACTTCAGCCGATCGGGGCTACTTCTGCAAAATCTACATGACACCGGTTCGCAGCCTGTGGTCCCTGCTTCCTATCGCTTCCGGGTCGTTCCCTTAAAATCCTCGTGCCCAGGTGCGAGCTGTGCTCTCAGCTTCTTGCTCACGCTCTCATTCGCTAAGTCAACAGTAGGATCTTGCAGCCCATGTAAACTCCGGAGGCTGAGCTTTCGAGTGGGAGCTCGAGTTGCTGCCGACGGAGACCAGGATGACAAGGCTCAGCAGAAAAAGGAGGGCTACTTGGCGTCCAGGTATTCGAGCCCCAAGATTTAGGACCTTGTTCATGGCCTACGACTCTGCTTCGCAGATCTCAGCTTCGGGATTTCGAGGAAGCCCAACCTCTTGTCCAGTCCCCCTAACCCTAAGAACCCTCCTTGCTTCCCTCTTCCTTCCCCTCCACCAGCATAAAGCCGATCCAACATAAAGAGAGGCCAGGCCAGCATCAGCCGAAGGAAAAGTTGGTCGCAAATGGGAACAGAAACCCACAGCATAGGACGCGGCCATGCCCTGTGTCCGGTTTCCCTAGCTACTAGGAGCATTAATTACAAATTAATCCACTTACATCTGCTCTTAATTGGCAGCGTAATCAATTCGAAAACGAGGCGCGAAGTTGCTGAATGATAGTAGTTTCCGACTGTGGTTGCCGGGGTGTCTACTTGGTGATTGCGTCGATTTGTAACACATCATACGCCCAAAGTATTGAACTGTGCCCTGCGCGACACGCACATTTTCATGATTTCGCACACTTTCAAAACACGACGTCGCAGACGCGTCACCTTGGGGATTCACTTTGCATGGGGGTGCCTTTTGTAAATTGACGTGTCGCATTGAGGTGGGGTGCCTTATAATATAGTCTTATAGGGGGCTTTGTACCATGTTTTGGAATGTGGTCAGTGGTGACCCGTAGCTACCACTGCTGCATATAGTCTCGGCGAAGGCGGCGCCCCATGCTGTGTGCTTAGAGGAAGTGGTAACTAACCAGCTAGTCAGGGCGGTGGCCAAGCAAGCAAACAATCAATCAATCAGCCAGTCAACCCACCAACCATCATCAACCACCCGACCGACCGACCGACCGACCACCCAACCACCTACCCGCCCACCCAGCCACCCGGCCTCACCTCCCCTCCCTCCCTCCCTCCCTCCCACCCACCCAACCAACCAACCCAGCCACCCCACAACCGGCCACCCGACCAGCCAACAAGCCGACCAACCATCCAGCCATGCAGGCAAGCAAGCGCGCCAATCATTCAGTCAATCAAATAATTAGCCCAATCGATCAATCAATCAGTTTTGTTCAGAGGGCAAGGTTGCGGGTACCGCCACCAAAGAAAGCACAGATAATTTAAACACAGTTAAGTGAAGCAATAGTTTTCGTGCAGTGACTTGCCGATCAACGGCAAATCCTTACAGTCAGATTAAATCCCAAAGCTCATCCCAGCTCCCCGAACCCTACAAGCCTGAAAACGAAAACAGACACCGCCGCATCGTGAACCCGAACCCCTGATCCCAGACGTACCCCAATCTCAACCACACACCATGATGGAACCATGCCTGGACGCCAAGCACATCTAACTGCCACCCAGTACCTGTTGTGAGATTGTCGGCCAATCCACTTCTTTTCGACCGCCCACTTGCAGTGCTGTTTGGGGGCGGGTGCTCCAGGCATAGGGGACACTATGGGGATGGGCTAATCCGGGGGTGGGCGCGGAGAGGTCGGGCGAGGAACATGGCTTGCCATTGAATCCGGCAACCCGGCACTGAGGGTGGAGTAAGAACAATGCAAGCGCACAAACAGTGAAGACAAACAACATAGGCTATTCGGCCGGCCACTACCGAACTCCCAGTCAGAGCTGGAGAAACCCCAGCAGAAGCTAAGGAACTCACGACATGCAACAAGCTTCTTGCACAAGACCGAACAAAGCCAGGCCTAAACTCAGGGTTTTCAGTTAAGGATTTCTCTCAGATTTCTCAGCTTCTGCCCAGGCACCCCCTGAATTAAGATAGCGAGGGGAAGCTGTGCTTTCTTGGCAGGATGTTCGTTTGTGGGGCTCCTGGACACAGCTCTTGACCGGCCAATTCTCGTGAAGACCCTGCTGGGCCCCAGCATGCAGCGTGCTGGTAAGTTGGGCCTTGGGGCTTGGGTGCAGAGTGACGTTGCTCCCGAGGTCCATTCTGCTTGTTCCTCCACGTGCTTGCAACTCGGACTGGGCTGGATGCAGTGGCTGCTTTAGTTTGTTTCGGAATTCTGCAGGCTCCACACAGCAGAGGTTCGTTGTGTCTCAGTGAGCATTGTTGCCCAAGCCAGGCCAGGGTCTCTTCAGGTCTTTCGAGATCTGAGATCTGAGCCATGGCGCCGTACCGACCGCCCCATATGCGGAACCAACCTCCGCTGCCGAAGCTGGTGTGTTCGAATCGGGATGAGGTCATCCGTACCCAGCCGAGCCAGAGCGACACCATTGCCACCTTGACAGCGAACCTGGCGGAGGAGTTCCACGTGCCAGAAGAGCTTATCAGTCTCGCGAAAGATGGCGCACCGCTTCAGGACACCAAAAAGGAGTTGAACACCCTAGGTGAGTGCACCATACATGTAACCGTCAAGCCAGCGAGTCACGAGCAGATGGAGAACTACATCCGCTCGAAGGGCTCTGATCACTTCTTGGGTGCAGAGTTGAAGTTGACAACCAACGCAGGCGAAGAGCTTAAAGGAGAGCTTTACTGCATACAGGAGCAAGATAACTCTTGCATTTTGCGAGAGAAGCTCCCCAACGGATGCGCCAATTTTTGGTGGCTGAAGTGGAACATTATCACTAGCATTAGCATTGAGAGCATGCCGGACAAGAAAAGGTCTGATTTCAGGCCTGCGGCCGGCGTTCCAGCCCTCGAGCGTCGGAGTTGACGAATTCAGCTGCCTGTGTCCAGCCAAGTCGTTGTGGATCTTCGCTGCACTGCAAGTCCGGCACAACGACCTTTGCAAAGATCTTTGCAATGTGGCTGAGTAAATCAGATAGCTGCAGTATGTTTCATTTCGTCAGGGTAGTGTAGACAGGGCCCACTCACCCAGGGACCTAGGCCCGAGCTTTGAAGTCTGCGGTCTGCCACAAAATACAGCCTGTAGCATCGAAGACCTTTAATTGCATGATAATGCATGATGCAGAGAGACCTCAGGCTAGGAGAGTGGGGCTCTCTTGATCAGATGTAGAAAGCCAAGTTCAGTTGACGACTCTGGAGATAGACAGACCTTTGTCTACTCGTCAGCGACCCGCCGCCCTGGGCACAAAAGTTCACCCTGCTGCCTGTCGCGATAGTTGAGTGGGGCAAGACTTAAACAACCCTGGCCCATCACTTTAGCTGCAGTTGCCTAGCAGCCTAGCAACCCGGTCGTGTCCGTGATCTTGACATCCTGTCATGAAGCTCCCAGGTTGCCAGACCACTCTCGGATGTGAGATGTGAGGACTGGCAGTGTCCCCGAAGGGCCAAGGGCTCCGGCTCCAAGGCTCTCCAGATCGCAGTTCCTCTGGGGCCTGCAGTCGGGACTCGCGGGATGTGTCGGACGCATCTTGTGCAGCCCCGGCACGAAGATTGCACAAGTTGGGAGGCCTATACCTATGCTGCCTATACTCGTACCTTTGTGACAGAAGTCAGAAGACCTCAGCTTGCTGTACGCTTCCTGCTTGGCTGCAATCTTCTCGGCGTTCGTTCCACGATGAATATCGATGAACCCTCCGGTCGCAAAAAACTCGGCCTTTCTTTAGTGTAGTTAGGAGCACAAGTGTCCGACAGTAAAATGAAGGCGCCAGTACATGCTGCAGTGTAGGTGAGTCACAGCATTCCAAATGCTGCAGCCCTGCACAAGAAGTCGTTGGCTACGACCTGGCTCAGAGCGCAGTCAGCTCCTTCAAGGAGTATCCCCGAATCTGCCAGAAGGCCGGAGACCCCTAAAAGGCCCTCAAACCCCTTAAAGGCCATTGGTTTCCTGCTTTTCGTGGGCCAAGGCTCTGCTCCCCTCGCGATGAGCCTCCGGCGCGCCATTGCCCGGGTCAGCGAGACGACGCTTCCGTTAAGGCCTCGTGAGTAAACACATATCATACACAAAGCACAACTGCAAATTTGCATGAACATCAGTATGTGTAATATGTACCCATGCATGCAGGTATGTATGCAGTTTTACGTTTTGCGCATCTGTTTATGGGCACATCCTTGTCTGCCTGCGTTCCTGTATGTTATGTTTGGTTGACTTGTTTATGTTACAGTGTTTACATGCAAATAAATCGGTTTGTAGATATACTAGATTGCTAGGTGGCACTTTGGGAAACTTTAAAATTTCTCTATGGTTCCTATATGGGTACTATTCATAATACTTTTAGGGCCCCAAAACCACAACACGGTATACGTATGCACCATACATACATACATACATACCTACATACATACATACATGCATACATACATACATACACTGTCCACCTGCCGACCCGACCTAGCTAGCCTGCTAGGTAGCTATTTACCCACCTACCTACCCACCCACCTACCTACCTACCCACCCACCCACCCACCTACCTACCTACCTACCTACCTACCTACCTACCTACTTACCACCTATCTCACACTCGTTCGCTGGCTCGCACGCTCGCTCTCGCTCCGACTGACGGCATGAGAAAAGGCCAGTAATTTTCACCAAAGATTGGGTGCATCAGGAAGACGAGCGCCCGTGACCAGCTTCGACTCGGCGGCTGCCTCAGATGTAATCATCGAGACTCCACCGGAAGGGATATAAATCAGTGTATACAAAAGCGTTTTGAAAACGAACAGAAGCACTTTGTTTTTTCAGGTTCCTATCCGGTGCCGCCAGAGGCCCACATTTGGTGGGCCAATCGCTCTCAGGCATCGATGGACAAGTGAGCACCTCATGTAGCAGAGTTGAAGAGTCTTGGAATTTGGAAGAAAACAGGTGTCGACACATCTGCCTCACAATTGCCATTATGCGGTAGCTCATGAAACTCAGCCGGTTGCAGGTGCCTGGCGGTGAGGCAAGGCAGCACTCGAGCCTTCTGCCGACGACGAGTTGATCCATAAGTTACCTTGCAGATCAAGCAGACCTTCTCCCACTTGCAGCAGAAGATTATGTGGCAGCAGCAGTCTTAGAGCTCCGCTGGGTTTGCCGGGCACTGCGCTGTCCCGGTTCCACAGCTTTGTGTCTTCTCGTCTTGGTGACTCGCCCTCTTCCGAGGTGGTTCTGGAACGCCCCCGCCCGCTGGCACGCCCCACTGTAGAAGTTGTGTGCCTGGAATTTGTAGCCGGGCCTTGTTGTGAGAGGTACTGGCGCTTGTCGAGTTTGGCTTGGCCAGCTGGAGTGCCATGCCTCCTGATGCACCCTCCTGCAAGCAGGTAGCGGACATAGTATGATGAGTACATGGGAGTTCGCTGATCAGGTACATCTTCGTTTACAAGTCGTGCGAGTGCGACGTTGAGGCCGCCTGGTGTGTCATCAAGGTTGATCTATCCACTGCAAGGTCTTGCCCATGTAGCATGCAGAAGCGTTGACTAGTTTTTTGTGGAGAGCACCCGGGCACAGGCGTCCATCAAAGCCAAGACATGGTGGTGAGAGATGAGGCGACGAGCCACCAGTAAACTTGCAGCATGGCACAAAATTCTCGGATGTTGAAGCGTGGTGCAGCGATTGTGGACTGTGGCTTGTTGGGAAGATGGATGCCCTTCCAATGTCTGGATGAGGGGCCCCGCTTCAAGCGTGTCTTTCAACGGGGGACAGCCTGGCTCTCTGCCACCGGCCGCGAAGTGCTTCAGCAGACGTGACACAAGTGTAGCCGAGTTAAAAATCAGATGGCCTGGCAGAGCCCCGTGCCTGTGTCCTTTCTGCGAACCAAATGATAGGCTGGACGATCCTTTCTTTGCCGGAAAATGCTTGCAACAGTGACAGCATGCTTCCGAAGTGTAGAGCTTTGCAGCATGAGAATGAAACTTGGTTGCCTTGCATGATTTTTACAAGCGCTGCTGCTGATTTCAGGGAGTAGGCAGCGTAGCCGACACACAGACTTCAGAAACAGCCGTTAGTTTCGGCTGCTACATCTTGATCAATTTGTCACAAACACTGCGCCACCGCTGGACCTCTCATCATGGTGGCCGGTTCAGCAGCTGTACGGCAAAAGGCCGCCAAGGGACTCCAGCACTTTATGCTTGTCAGGATGCCTGGTTCTTTTTTTTTAATAGCTTGGCCTGCAGGCCAAGCTGGCTGACTTGGCGGTTTCCAAAGCTGAAAGACGCCTCGTCGGCCTGGCAGGCAGGGGCGCTTAGCCGCTTGGGTGTTCTGCATTTGTGCAGCGAGCTCGAGCACAGAGCACAAATGTCAGGTGACAGGGACATCGTGGCCAACAGCACCAACAAAGTCGCGGTGCTGGTTTGGAAGTCTCCCTGCAATCCAGTGCAACGAGCTCACCTCGAGCTTTTTCAGTCGCTGTGCTGGCATGCCATACCTTGCAAGAGTTTCCTAACGTTTCAAGGCAGGTACGAGTGGAGGGTCGTAGGGCATGGAGCTTCTCTCCGAAGACAGGCAGAAGTGGCAAGCTGAGCTCAGCCAAGGAGGGCACGGCAGCTGGTGGAACGAACAGCGCGGATGCCAGTTGCGGCAGCATACCTCGCTCCCGAGGCAGAAGCACCGGAGTGTCCATGCCTCCCCTTTGCCATCCGTACTGTTTTGTGCCGGCTGGCATGTGAGGAGTCCGACTTTATAGAAACTTGTGCTTGGGGTTGGGACATCTCCCGAACAAGCGAGAGGATTATTCAGCAGCTAACCGCGAAACTGTCCTGGAGTGGAGGTCTGCATTGGGAGTTCCAACCGTGGTGCCTCATCACCGGGTTGCATGCCACAGATGACAGGGCATATCAGGATATGCCTGTTGTCTGTATGGGCCCGGCAGTCCAGTCACCAGCGCCTTGTACTGTGACAGACTTGGAAGCTCGAATCCGCCGGGTGCGCCGGCGCAGCTACGAGCATCATCCCACGGTCCTCCTGCCGACGCGGCATAAAACAGAGCTCCCCGAGACCCTCGAGGAGCAGGAGCAGCGCCTTCAGCAACTGCTCATCAGCTCAGACTGGGAGCAGCTCTCTGAGTCTGGACTGGTCTCCCCGAATGTGCTGGAGCCTTTGCGCCGCGCTGTGGTGGATCCTGCCGAAACGGACTTCCAATTGCCGGGCCTTGACGAGACCGATGATGACCAATCTGCCCTCGAGCAGCTCGACACCAAAACGAACGCCAGGCCGGACCAAGGCTTCAGCCAGAGCCAGGATGCCGGTGCCTGAGCCCTCAGACTTCTCACAGGAGGTTCATGAGATTGGTCGAATCTTGCATAGCCTCATTGCCATATCTTGGGCATCTAAGCTTCATTCAATCCGCCATCCGTGCGTGGTAGCCTTGACTTACGTCACATCGAGTTTTCGGGTTCTCAGCAGGATCATCTCACGAGCTTCCTCTGAGCCCCTCGAATCAGACAGTGCAAGGCCAGTGTTTACCGCTTGATTTCGGAATTCGGAACACACCTTGAACAGAAGGAAGTTCAATGCTATCATTTAAGGTATATCCTTGATGAAGGGGTACTCGGCTTTCCTGAGGCTTTCAAGAAAGGCCGGCTGCATTTCACCACAGGCGAGGCGGCGAAGGCCAGGGTGAGAGTTTTCATCCTTCTGATGTCTGCAAAACGGGCTTCAGGGTTTTCGGTTCAGGGTTTAGGGTGCGTTGTAAAGCATATACTGTACAGAGATGTACAGAGTATTGCGAGTATGACATGCAAGATGCTGTGCGTCACATAGTATGTTGGTGCATACGATGTTGTATGGCATGGTTGTGTGATATATAGCATGTTATGTGCTACATATTTTGTACT